TAGAAGGGATAGACTACTATGGAAGCATAGCTGATGAAATGTCCTGAGAAATGTGGTTGGAGTACACATACTATGTGCACCTTCACATGCTACTTGAGCAGAAAGAGGAAGAGTTATAGCTGGAGTCTGAACTGTCCCCAGAAGCTCATGTTGTGTTTGGTTGCTCTGAGCTGGTGGAACTTGTTGAAACTAGGACGTGAGGCTTGATTGGAGGAAGTAGCACTGGGGTGGGTCCTTGAGTGTATCTTGTTCCTGGCATCTTCCTGTCAGTGTCGTGTGTACTGTGATGTGAGCTGCTCTGTCATGTGTTCTCTGTTGTTGCTTACTGAATCTTATATTTTGGTTGTGAGCCTAGCCTTTAACGGCTGAGCCATCTCTCCAGCCCGCTTACTGAATCTTAAGAAATGCTTTTGAATGTGTTTGTGGCAGCATTAGAAAAAATAACCAATTCATGGGGTGGTTTTATGTGCAATTGTTTTGGTATCTTAAGAGTGACTAGAGCTCAGGATGTAGCTTAACTGATAGAATGTTTGTCTGTTATGCTCGAAACCTTGTGTTCAGTCTGTAAGACTAGATAAACTTTTAGGGTGTGGTGGTACACACCTGGGATTCTAACATTTATCTTCCACTTGCAACCCCAATATTGGAGGTGGAGGTTTACCTTGAATAAGTAGGACCATGTATCTAAATAAAGAGATAACTAAATACACAACCAGAGGGTAGGCATAGTGGATAGTGTTCTAATTCTAGCACTCAGGATTGCTGGGAGTTTGAGGACAGCCAGTGTTACATAGTTTCAGGACAGTCTCAGCACTGTAGTGTGTGGTCCTGTTTCAAAGACAGACAGGCAGACAGACAGATACACCTCAAATAGAAGAAAAGTACTAGATTTACCTCTATTGAAAATATGTAAGAAATGCTGCGTTTATTCTGAATTTCACGATCAGTAACTGATAAAAGGGGCTTTAGGGATGATACTGTGACTTTTGATGAATATTTTCACATGGATCTAATTTTGTAGAATTTAAGGAGATACAGTAACATTAAACAATACTAGTCAGTTTTGTGTTTTATAGTGTTGTTACTGGATGTGAATTTAGGTCTAGAAACAGCACCATAGTCTTTAGTTTGAGGCTTGTGTTTTACCTGGTTTGGACTTGTAAACTGTTAAATGATTGCTTAAGCTGTAGGTCCCAAAGAGTTCAGATTCCTCTAGTGTCTTAGTTTGATCTCCCTGCTTGTCTTTGAGTATATTTAAATACTCAGATAGAATGTGCATCTTTTGACTCTTTCAGTTACAGTCCACTGTTACTGGAGTATCAGTGTAGCTGTAAAAGGTGATTAAGGGTATTATTCTTTGATCACAAAATTAAGTTTCAGTCTTTCAGTGGGTGTAAGATTGAATCTATATTTTGCGCTCTTTCTGCTGTAACTCACTATATTGGAGTCTTTTGGGGGAGTGATATATGAGGTGGATATCCTATAATCTTTTTCTGTATTATATTCATTTACTGTGTGGTGTCTGTGTGGAAAAATATATACATACATACATACATATATACACATGCATTGATACATGGAGGATATATATATATGGAGGAAAAATATATGCACATACATGGGGGCTATATATATTATATGGGCTATATATATGGAGAATATATATTATATATTATATATGTATATGGAGACGAAGGGTTGAGTGTCTTTCTCAGTTCTCTGTTTTCTGAGATAGGGTTTTTCACTGAACCCGAAACTTACTCATTTGACAGAAATCCTTCTGTTTCTGAGATACCATACTTTTTTTCCTCTTTCTTTCAGTCGTCTGCCTGCCTGCTTGTCCGCGGGCGCATGACATGTATGCGTGTGCCTGCCTGCATGTGCATGTTGGGGATCCAAACATAAAGCGCCTTACTGACTGAATTGGTTACCGTACAGAGAAACGGGTTTCTTTGTGATGCTTTCTTTTTGTGTGTGGTGGTTGTCTTCATTTACTTGTCTCCTTTTTAGACTCTGATAAGTTGGATTCACTATTACCCATGTCTATGCTTTCATATTTTTTGGGGACTGACCATCCATCCATCTACCCATCCATCTACCCATCCATCTACCCATCCATCCATCCATCCATCCATCCATCCATCCATCCATCCATCCACCCATCCATCCATCCATCCATCCATCCCTCCGTCCATCCTGTTTTTTGAGACAGGGTGTCTCTGTATAGTCCTGGCTATCCTGGAATGACACAAAAGTGCTAGGACTAAAGATGTGTGCCACAGCACCTGGCCATAGTGTTGTTTTCTGTTTGTCTTTTTTATTTTGAATGTTTTCTTGGATTTATCAAACATTTGGCAAATATTTTAAATTTAAAGCATTGCCAATATTATGAACTTGAAGACAAAACTTAGTTGATATATGTTTACATTTAGTTTGCTTCTGGTAATTTTTAAACGTATGTGTGGTGTATGTGGGGTGTGGGTGTGGATGTACTTGGGGTGGTGCTGAGAGGAGGATGTGTCATGTGTCCTCTGTCATCCTCTATTCTCCAGACAAGGCTTCTAACTGAACCTGTAAGCAGGCTGCCACACTTTTTTATTTGCTTACTTATTTATTTATTTTTTAATTGCTGGAAATTTGAACTCAGGTCCTCCTGAGAAACCCATTTCTGCAGATCTAAGTTATTTATTTATTTTCCATTTTTTTGGTTTTAGTTTTGAAGTAATCAATTAGTTTTAAAAGTTGGTAGCTTTAAGCTTGTTCCTGGCTTTATCAGTTCTGCTGGCTCTCTTACTGTATCTTCACCTCCAGTAGAAATTCTGTCTAAGATTCACTTACAAATTAAATAAAAAATGACCTCACTGGGTAGTGATGGCACAGGCCTTTACTCTCTGTGAGTTTGAGACCAATCTGGTCTACAAAGTGAGTTCCAGGATTGCTGGAGCTGTTACACAGTGAAACCCTGTCTTGAGGAAAACAACAATATAATAAACAAAAAAAAAAAATGACTTCATGTAACAAGTGTGGGGCATTGCAGTTGGGCTTGGTTAGTGTAGCAGCTTGATAAATCTGTTTGTGTTCTTGTCTTCCTTTCTGCCTTAATCATATCTATGGCTTTCTTTACCTGAGACTGGCGCAGTTTGGGGAGTCACTTCCTGTATTTATTTTAGATATGCTTTCACTGTGTGGTCCAGGCTGGCCTCAGGGTCGTGCTCTTCTCCCTCAGTGTTCTGGGTAGTAGATTTACAGGCGTGTGTCACCATGCCTGGCCCCCCCCCCCCCCTTTTTTTTCCGAGACAGGGTTTCTCTGTGGCTTTGGAGGCTGTCCTGGAACTCACTTTGTAGACCAGGCTGGCCTGGAACTCACAGAGATCCGCCTGCCTCTGCCTCCCGAGTGCTGGGATTAAAGGCGTGCGCCACCAACGCCCGGCAGCCCTTTTGTTTTGAATACATGTGTGTTTGTGATTGAACTAGAACCTCCTGCTTAATAATCGGACACTACAACTAAGCTATACCCCTAGCTCTGTGTTTTTGCCTTTTAGGCCAAATGAGAAGGAAAATCAGATTCCTGAGTGTGACTGGGTGGAATTAGAATGATTATGAATGAATTGTCTCTGCACTTTTGCCTCTTATCAACAGCTTAGATATCTCAGTTTTGATCCGCCAGTCTTTAAACAAGATTTCCCAGATGACTTGGTTACACTTAGTGCTTGAGAAGTACTGATCTAACGTGGGCTGCAGGATGCTTTATTTGTAAACCTAGGGTTTCAGACTATCTGAAAAAAATTAAGAATCTGTGAGAAATGAGAGGGGTGTGGTGGCTGTCAATTTAAAGTATACTTTTCTACTTATATTTTTGGTTGAAATGTTTTTTTCCCTCTTATGGTTGTAGGTGGAAGAAATGATAATGGGTATAACTGGTAATCTGTTATCTGACATAGGGAATCTGTTCTGCTTTTTACAACTGAACTTTATAAAATGAACCTATATAGTGTCTGGGATCAGAAATCCTATAGTTAGGGAATGCAGGCTTGTTTCAGTGTGCTTTTGTTTTTCATTTGTTCTCTAATATTGTTGATACGATTTAGTAGGTTTAAAACATTATGTAGGGAGGGGCTAGAGAGATTGGTTTAGAGGTTAAGAGCATGTACTGCTGCTGTTGCACAGTAACTGAGTTTGGTTCCCAGCACCCACACTCAGCAGCTCATAATCACGTTTCACTCCTGCCCCAGAGGATCTGATACCCTCTTTTAGATTCCTTAGGCATGTGCACTAACATGCGTATTCTCTTCCTACCATATAATTAAAAAATAAAAAGGGAAATATTACATAGTTACCAGTTTCTGTGGTTTTAGAGTCTGGACACAGTGTTTTTCTGGGTCCTCTGTAAGGCTATAGTAAATATGTTCACAGGGTTGGGTTCTGTGGATGAACATTTCTAAACTGCGATCGTTGCTGTCATTCAGGTTCTTTGCTTTATTATAGTGTGGGCCTTAGCCAGACGTCTCTCTCCATTACTTGCTTGTGGCTCGTCTTAGCCAGCATACTAATGTAGTGTCTTGTGTCTTCAAAGCCAGTAATAAGTAGAACTGGCCATTATGGTATTATTTCATTCCATGTAGTTTATCATCTTTGTCATAGTCTGTTGACTACAACTTGGTCATAGGGCATACTCAAGAAGGAATTTTATAACGAGGTGAATATAAGGGTGGTTTCATGTATGAGATTTTGGTACCACTCCACAGTGTGGCACAAAGCTGAACTGTAAGAATGCAATGTGTAATGAATATGCATTGTGTTTCTCTTGAGGCTCTCACTTAAAAATGTATTAGGGCTCTATATTTACATGATGTGATCAAATGTTTAAACCACTGAGACAGCCTTATTTATATCTTTGCAGTATTAGTTGTTGCTACATAGATTTTGTAGATGAAAGTTTGTTAATCTGGTTTATAGAAATTTTGTGAATTAGACTTAGACATTGTTTTCTCCTTTTTTAGTTGACTATATTGTAGAGTATGATTATGATGCTATCCATGATGATGAATTAACTATCCGAGTTGGGGAAATCATCAGAAATGTGAAAAAACTACAGGAAGAAGGATGGCTAGAAGGAGAACTAAATGGGAGAAGAGGGATGTTCCCTGACAATTTTGTTAAGGTAAGTATTTTCAGTTTAATTTCTTGCTTTTGCTTCACAGAATTAAGTGTATATGCCAAGAAATACATGCTTAAAATGAAATTACTTTAAAATGTTTACTCTTGACATTTAGAAAAGCGCAGCTACAGATACATCTGCAACAGATTTTCCTGTTGATTGGTGGCCTGCTGTACAGTAATGCTGTGTGGTTGTATGTGTGTCTTTGTCCTTGTTTATGTTTATATACATGTATCTACTTGCCATAGATAATAGCTTTTGGTTGGGTTGCACTTTGAGCTGGTGTCTCAGAATTGTCCCATAATTCTTCCATTGTTTTTTGTTGCTTTTCTCTCAGATTTATCACATGCATCTTTGCAAATATTTTCTGCTGTATATTTTCTTCTTCTCTTGGTGTATTCCCCCCTTCCTCTTTGTGTGTGTGTGTGTGTGTGTGTGTGTGTGTGTGTGTGTGTGTGTGTGTGTATGTATATAAAAGGTACACAAAATTTATTAGAGATGAGCTTGGACAATGACCCAAGAGACCATTGCAGTAATGTACACTTTGAAAGGGTAAGAATGAACAGTGGCCAAGGAGACTATGTGTCCACCTACATTTTAGGCTGACTTTATACCATTTCTAAAGTTCATTTGTTTGTTTGTTTGTTTGTTTTTTGAGATAGGGTTCTCTGTATTGTTTTGGAGGCTGTTCTGGAACTCACTCTGTAGACCAGGCCGGCCTCGAACTCACAGAGATCTGCTTGCCTCTGCCTCTCAAGTGCTGGGATTAAAGGAGTGCCCCATCAACGCCCAGTCATTTCTAAAGTTTCTATAGCAGACAGCTTTCTTGTTCATATGATTGACATGCCCCATTTGGATTGCCTTTTTTCCTTCTTGAGATGGGGTTTTACTGTGTAGCCCTGGATGGCCTCATGTAAACACAGATCTGCCTACTTCTGCCTCCCTCCCCATTTCTAGGATTTAAAGGCATGCCACCATGCTTGACTGAATTTATTCTCTCTGTATTTGAGACAAGGTTCCAGTATGTAACTCTGGCTGTCCTGGAACTCACTATTGTAGACCAGGCTGGCCTTGAACTCACAGAGATCCACCTGCCCCTGCCTCCTGAGTGTTGTAATGTACTGACATAGGATGGGACAATGGTATGTCTTTGTTACTAGAAAGCCTTCATGGAGATAGTGATCTCAGTACTTAGTTTTTAGTGTTAGTTATCTATTAATGATCTTCTATACAGGTCAGAATGTTCTGTTCACCACAGGCCACTGCTATTTCAGACCTATTCATTTGACCAGTAATTATAGTACTGCAGTTTGAGTCCTTGGTTTTAATGGGTGCTGATTATGAGGGAGTGGTCCATCCTCAGTGACATCTTAACCTGATAATATATAACTGGCTACAACCGTTCCTCAAGAGGTGAGACCTAGACTAGAGGGATGGATCAGTGGTTAAAAGTGCTTCTTGTAGACGCCTGACAACTTGGGTTGATCCTTGAACTCATGTAAAAAAGATGGATTAGGTTGCTTGTCTCTGTAATCCCAGCATGCCAATAGGGAAACGGAAGCTGGAGGTAGGAGAATTGCCTGGAAAGTTATGGGCCGGCCAGCTAGCCTGTCAGAAACCAAAGAAACCCTACTTCAGCAGAGGGAAAAGAGAAACGACTCATGAAAGTTATCCTCTGATCTCCACTCATGTACCATGACACTCTAATAATAGTAATAGGAATAAAGGAATCGAGACCTCAGAATAACTGTGGAGATGTGAATCATCTTGGTCTGACTGAAGTGAGATATAGAAGTGTATAGAGATTTCAATCTTGTTAACTTAGACCTTGAATGGCAATCAAGGCCACACCCAGATATATGGACTATTACAGAGGAGCTGAGACTTCAAGGTTTACCGGAGACTTCATCCCATTTGTTGTGATTTTTCAGTTGGAGGCCACTTTATTCAGGGGCAACATCAGGGGCTCTGCTCTGAGCATCTTTTGATTGTGAGGGCAGTAAATCCTCTAGTACCCTGTTACATTGAGGGCAAGGAATCCCAGTACACTCAGTATTTGGGCACTTTCTCTCTCAGTGATCTGAGTGCTTACAGTTTTAACATTAATGTGTCATTGTATTTCCTCTTATGGAGGAGTCAGTGGGAAATCTTGTTAACCAATAAATCTACAAGAAGTTCTGTATGCCCTTCATTCTCATATTCTTTCCCTGTCTTGTATATTAGCTTTCTTTTGTCCTAAACTTTGTTCTTTTTGTTGGTGCTGGTTATAGGTAACAGAATTTGCTATCTTTTGTAGGTTATTAGTAGTGATCTCAGACCTCATGGGTAGTATTTGTAGTTATCTTCTAATGTCAAGGGCAGATTGAGTAAGAAATTTGTCTTTGAACTCACAAGAGATCTGCCTGCTTCTGCCTCCCAAGTGCTGGGATCAAAGGTGTGCGACACCAACACCTGGCTAAATTCCGTACTCTTGCAGATGATTCTTTTGGTTATTTTGGGACAGAGTTTCTTTATGTAGCATTGGCTGTCCTGTGTTCACTAGGCTGGCCTTAACTCAGAGATGACCTGCTTCTGTCTCCTGAGTACAGGGATTAAAGGTGTGTGCCACCACTGCCCAGCATTCATTTTATTATACCTGTGAATTAGAACATGGAGCCACTAAGTTAAACCCTATAGGATAGAATCTAGTCATTGGTTTGTACAAGACCCATATTGTAAGGTTGCTAGCTAAGATTTTTATAATTGAATGGGGGGAAAATTAAGAGAGTATTAAATGATGTGTAAGATATGTGAAAATTAAAAGATCCCTCCCCCTTTGTTTTTTGGAAATAGGGTCTCATGTAGTCATGTTGGCCTTGAACTCTCTGTGATCTCATAGTGGAAGACAACCTCAAGCTTCTGATTCTTTTGCCTCTAACTCCCAAGTGCTAGGATTGCAGATGTGGACCATCATGCCCAGTTTGTGTTCACGAATACTTTTAGAATATGTTTGAGTTTAGTTATTTAAGTATACAACTACATTTGAATTACACATAATAAAACTGATATTGGAAAGAGATTGCATGGCCTGGTAGCCAAAAACATTTAGTATATAGTGCTTTATAGAAAAAGTTGTGTACCCTTGACTTAAAAATATGTGTTGTTTGTTTGGTGTTTCAGGCTTTTCTTGTGTATGTTAGTGAGGGGGGTTGCAACTCTTTACCTTTTCTTCAGTTTCATGTAAACTTATACAATGTAATGCTTGGCAAATGATCTGCATTCTTCAGATATATCTGAGTACAAAAAAAGCTTAAAAATAAGTTACGTTATAATTTATTTAGTAATTACTGTAGGTATGTCTTGACATTTTACATTTGAGAAACAGAGTAGGGAGGCTAAGGTTGGAGGGTTACAGTGTGTTCTAGGCTAGCCTAAGTTACATTTAAAAAAAAATAGAAATGTTTAAGAATGTAAATTGAATAAGATACACTAAATTATTTCCTTTTGATTTCCTTTTTTATAGGAAATTAAGCGAGAGACAGAACCCAAGGATGACAATTTGCCCATCAAACGGGAAAGGCATGGAAATGTAGCAAGTCTTGTACAGCGAATCAGCACTTACGGACTTCCAGCTGGAGGAATTCAGCCACACCCACAAACCAAAACTATTAAGAAGAGTATGTGAACAATTTCTTTCCTAGTTAGTTATGTCAAAATAGGATATTTATGACTGCTCATAAATTCAGGAAGATAAGTTCAGTCTTCTACAGCCAACTTCAGTAATTAAGTTAGTATCATGCACTGATGATTGACGTACATAGTTTTTATGCTTGGTCATGTTGAGTCAATAACATTGCTAATCCAGCTTGAGAAGCTGGCAGCCATATACAGGTCTTGCTCAGTAGCTTATATTGGCCTTAGATGAGATTCTCCTGCTCTGGAAAGTTATTTTTCTGTAAATAAGTTAGGGAAAAAATTGACACAGAAAGAATACTATGTTTTATTGAATTTTTTTTTTAATTCATCATGTGCAGAGACCAGAGGACAACGTTATAGAGTTGGTTCTCTCCCAGCTTTGTATGGGCCATAGGGATTGATCCCAGGGTACGAAAGGGAAGCTTCCGTAAAAAGACAAATGTTTATAGGTTGTTTTTAGGGATTATGTTGCTTTAGTAAATTAGGGGTGGTGTTTTCTCTTCCAGTAACCATGATTTCATTTGTACTGAATAGTTAGGTTTTCAGGTATACCTCTTGGTTGCTTGCTTCCAAGGCACACGTGCCACTACTATTCCTTTAGGGTTATTGGCCAACATACTTTAAGTTGTAGAATTTTGATCTCTTTTATGGCGTCAGATCACTTAATTTACTTGAGGTTTTTTTCCCCCTACAATTAAGTAAACTCTGTTAAACAGAGAAACCCTGTCTCAATCTGCCCTCTCCCCCCAAAAAGAAGTATTAAATGTGCAAACAATTACAGTTTTTATGATAATGGATACTAAGTATTATAGTATTCTTTAAAAAGCCTGTTAAATTCCACATGGGATAGTTAAATTTGATTTACTGAGAAGAGTGGGTATTCTTTTTTTTTTTTTTTTTTTTTTTTTGGTTTTAAGAGACAGGGTTTCTCCGTTTCTCCCTATTGTTTTGGAGGTTGTCGGTTCAGCCCGGCCTCGAACTCACAGAGATCCGCCAGCCTCTGCCTCCCGAGTGCTAAGAGTGGGTATTCTTAAAAATGCATATCCTTACATCTCTCTGTCTGTCTAGTGTGTGTCTGTGTGGTAAACCATGGTGTGTATGTAGTCAGAAAACCACCTGGGGTAGTTGGTTTTCTCTTTCTGCTAGATGGCTTCTGGGGATCAAGCTCAGGTTGGAAGGCTTGGTGGGAAGTGTTTTTACCTGCTGAGTCACTTTTGCAAGCCCATAGTTGTTTAACCACACTTACCTTAGTTATTGAGATTATAATATCTTTGAAATTTTGGTCTGGTCTGTAACTCCCTTGTGGGATGAAGTGTTTGGCAATAAAGAAGGTTCTCCCTTGAACTATATAAGGGTGCTAATGATTTGCATACAGGCTTTTTACTGTCACGATGTGTTATTTCCCATGTCATTGCTTATTAACTTTGGGGAAACTGCTACTTCCTAAATTATAGCACTGTGTTGCATCAAATTTTTTTTGTGAAGAACAAAGATTTTTTTTGAGACATGTTTTCTCTGTGTAGCCCTGACTGTCTTGGAACTTGCTTTGTATGTCAGGCTAGTCTCTCCCCAAGTCCTGGGATTAAAAGCGTGCATCACTACTGTTGGCCAAACATACATATCTTGACCCTAAGATCAATTAAAGTTTTTTTTTTTAAATTCTTTGTGTCCCAGAAAAATATGATACTCAGGTAACATTTGTGCATCACCTGCCCTGCAGGTGGACAGTTTTAGCCATTTTAGTGATCCTGGACTGTGAACTTCCTGGAGACTAGTGACAAGTAGTGGAGATGCACAGAGCTGTACCTTGTGTGTAATTTCTGTGCTCTGAGGACTTCCAGACCAATGGAAGAGTTATGTATGATCTCTGCCCATTATAAACACCCTACCTTTTAATTCTGTGTTGTTGTTAAGGAACATATCTTTAGCACAGGCTAGACAGAGTTTCAAGGCTATGAACACTAAAACAGAACACCCCCCTTCTTTGTTTATATGTTTCTGACTGTGGGGTGGGGTGGTTGTAGGGTTTCTTTGTGATTTTTTTCTTTCCAGCTGACTAATGATATGATAGGAGCTAGGCAAAGTTACTACTACTTTTCTGTTGCTGTGATAAAATACCACAATCAAAGGCAATTTAAGAATGAGTTTATTTTGGCTCAGAGTTTGAGAGGGATGAGATGTCATCATAGCTGGGAGGCATAAAAACAGGAGCAGGAAGCTGAGAAACTCACATCTTCAACTGCAGACATGAAGCAGAGACAACTGGAGTTAGGGTGAGCCCCTACCCTCCAACATGCTGCCTGCAGTAAGGCCACATCTCTTACACCAACCCCAACAGTACCAGCTGCTGGAAACCAATTCTTCAAATACTCTGGCCTGTGGGAATTAGGTCTTATTCAAACTACCATGGTTCCTCTCAGTTTTGGTATTTAGTGAGGGCAAGACTACATACAACACAGGTGAAACCTATGGCCAGGAAAATTTTTGGATACATGTGACCTGCCAAAATGCAAGAAAATATAAAAAAGAAATTCAAGATAGACCCCTAGTGAGTAATGATAGTGAATCAGTAATAAAATTTACCAACCACGAAAAAAAGCCTGGTACCAGAAGAGGCTGCACTGTTAAATGTAACCAAACATTTAAAGAAATAACACCAGTGTTTCCCAAGCAATGCTATATAATTGAGAGAGCAAGAACCCTTCCAAATTCATTCTGTGAGGCCATTCTGGTCTCCAAACCCAATGGGAGAAAAACAAAGAGGAAAAGAAAAAAATCCCACAGTGTCTTTGATGGGGGGGGGGAGCAAAATTCTGGCAAATTCAGCTCTACAGGCTTACCACAAAGATCACACACCAAGTTTCCTTCCAGAGACGCAAAGACGTTTAACATATACAAATCAGCAAACATATAATCATCTCAATAGATGGAGAAGAAACATTTGCTAAAACTCAACATCCCTCATGGTGTGGCTGAGGTGGGTACAGAAGATTCATACCACAGTGTGCTGCAGGCTGTATACATAGAGTACTGAGTGTGGAAAATTGAAAGCATTTCTTGTAAGGTCAGGAACGAGACAAGGGTGACAAGATTTGCATGGTCAGGGATGCAGGCACTTTTCATGATATATATATATACACACACACATATATATAGACAGACAGACAGACACCGACCGACCAGGCATATGAGCAGAAAAGGAGAAAGTCAGATTATTCCTGCTTTCAGATTATGATATACAAAAATTTAGAGACCCACCAAGACAACATGCAAAAATTAGTAATCCTGTAATTTTGGTACTTGAGAGTTGGGATCAGAAGCTTAAGGTTGTTCTTGGCCATAGAGCAAGTTTGAGGACATTACAGGACACATGAGACCCTGCCAAGTCTGATAACCTGAGTTTGATATCTGAGACTCACATGTAGAAGAGAAGTGACTTCCACACGTCCTTCAAACTTCACATGCACACTATAGACCCCTTTCACACGTTAAAAAAATAAAGTAGAATTTAAAAAGAAAAATGCTTAGTACTGTCTTCAAAGTAATTCAGAATTATAGCAAGATACCATTTTATTCCATTTATAATGGATGTAATGAAAAAACATAAAAAAGTGGAAAAAAGGAAGATGTGCACACTGTTGGTGTTACATAAATTAATTCAGCCATTTTGAGAAACAGAGATACTCAAATAGTGCTTTGCCAGGCAAGTAAAATGCCTCGATGTGATGTGCAGTGTAGATAGGAGAAAAGAGGCTCTGCTTTACTTCTCCAGCTCTGGTCCCTTTCCTTAGCACATACACTGAGGTCCTGGATTTGTCCAAAATGGGAAATATAAGCATCTACCTGGAACTCTAGCTGGGTGTGAGGTTTTTTTTTTTTAAAAGAAAAAGCTGATTGTTTTTTTTTTTAAAGTTCAGACTGTCTACATCACTTTCGATTTTTTTTTTAACTACATTTGTTTACTTACATGTGTAACATAGCACACATGTAGAGGCCAGAAGACTTAGTCCCTCCCTCCCTCCCTCCCTCCCTCCCTCCCTCCCTCCCTCCCTCCCTCCCTCCCTCCCTCCCTCCCTCCCTCCCTCCCTCCCTCCCTCCCTCCCTCTGTATTGTTTTCCAGGGATCACACTATGGCTGTCAGGCTTGGTGGCAAGTACCTTTACCTGCTGAGCCATCTTGCTGGCCCTCAGCATTATTGATTTTCAAAGAAAAAGGCAAGAGATTCAACCTTATCCATTTATCTTGGTACAGGAGAGAGCAGGGATTTGTATCCACTGTCCAAAGCCATTAATGGCTAACCTGCATTGAAGGAGGGGAGACACTGAGACAAGAGTCTACTTTAGTTTTTTCTAGTTCTGTCTTGAGAACATCAGTATGCTTTTAATTTTTCTTCTGGATTGTGACTGGATGATCTGTGCATTGAAGACTGTGGGGTGCTGATGCCCTCCTGGTACTTACTGTTTATTTAGTTTGAGACAGATCTCAAGTGTTCTTGCGTAACTTTGAACTCTTGATCCTCCCTCTGCTCACCCACCATTCCTACCATAACTGTCTGGCCTTCAGGGTTTATGTTGATAAATCTATCATTAGTCCAATAGAATTATCTTTAAATGTGATCTGGCATTTTCTCTTGTGGGTTTTAAGTCGTTCTTGTGCTGTCCTTTTGACAGCTTTAGTACCATACATTGTAGAGAGGATCTTTTTTGGTTTTTCGGGTTTATATAGCAATCCTGTTCCTGATTGTGCATGCCTTTCCCAAAATTAGGGAAATTTTCTGCTGTTTCATTTGGTTTGCTTTGCCCTTTTTAAAATTTTGAATATGTTGATGATTGATCTTCCCCCAAATCTTTTATTTTCTTTTCATTCTTATTTGCATTTTTATATAAATATGTTACTTCCAAAAAGAGGTTTTCAAGCTGTGATATTTTTTCTTTTTGCTTAACTAACTGCTGTTGAGGTTTTTTTTTTTTTTTGGTTGAATTCTGTTTGATTTACTGAGCACCATTTCCTGGATTTCCTATTAGTGCTTTAAAAAAATATCTCTCTTTAGTGAATTTCTCTTTCATATATTCCCTTGTTTTTCCAGTTTGCTTAATCATTCCATCTATATTTCTTTGGATCTCATTAAACTTTAAAACAACAACAAGAAAACATTATGAAATTCTCTATCTGGAATTTCATCTTGTTCAGTATATTTTGAATCTGTTATTGCAGAGTTTTGCCTTTTTTTAGAATGTGCTGTTTATCTTTTTCATATTTTTATTTATTTCTGTTGAGATTTACATGTCTGGTAAAATGAGTATCTTCCCTTATTTTAGTGAAGGTAAATCTTGGATGTAATAGTTTGTGATGCAGAATTGAGTTTATTTCTAACTGGTTACTATAATATTGTCACTTTATTCCTTAGAGTTTCTTTGGGTTTGATTATTGAGTTTGGGCATAACCCATGCTTAGTATTGGAGTTGGATAGACCCTACTGATGACACAGGGACAGAGAAACTGTAGCAGTCCAGGCCTTATGTGGTAGAGAACATCCTGTGTAGCAGCTCTTACCTACAATTGGAGAGGTAGTCTCTATTGGTGATGGAGGTTTCCTCAGACACTGTTTATATCGACTCTGTTATTTGAATATGCAGCTCTAGTCCTCATATAGGGTCTAAAAGATTTATTCTTTGAGTAGGCATTGGTGCAAGTCCAATGGTTTCCTAGGAAGGTTAGAAGAGAAATCAGCACTCCTTTGTGCCCTTGATAATTAGTCTTAATAGGAGTGTGTGATTGTACAAGATATTGTGAAGACTGAGACTGAGGACACCTGTAGTTGTAATGGAAGCAGGAATGGTATTCCTCTGTTCTGCTGCTGTAATCATGCCCCTCCAAGAGTGGGACCATCTCCCCTGGTGTGCATGCTTGCTTGGGATGGGCTTTTCTTCCTCTGAAAAATCAGTTGTACTATCTATCTACCAGTGTTGCAGGAATGGTTGCAGCTGGAGCTTTGCAGAATTCCTCTCAGTTTTAGGTGCAGACGGAAATGAAGGAGAAAGAACACATCCAGACACAATTTCTCTGCCAACTTTAGCTGTGAACCAGTGGGCAGCACTGTGACTGATGGTGCGATGACATTGCTTGAAACCGCCTGTACACCTGTATGGATTGAGAAAACAGTCTTGGGGCTCTTTTCTTCATCTTGTTAGAGACAGGAACTTGCTGCGTGGAACTGAGAGCTGAGTAGGATCTACACCTTCATCTCAGTTGATGGGCTCTCTAATCAATTTTGTTTTTGTGGCTAACACCATGCATTCACTCTGCATCCCTTACACCGAATTCTCACAGTGTATCTCTGTTGGTGGGTTAGTATCAATCAGTGTCTTTCCGCTGAGTCAGGTCTGACCCTCTGAAACATGGCATTCCAGATTCAGTTGCCTGTTTCCAAGAAGCCTCTGGGTTACTGCATCCTGGGGAATTCCTGGGGAATTCCTGGGGAATTCCTGGGGGATGGAATCCTTTTCCTAACTATTCTGGTGGATAGATTCAGATTCTCTTTAGAAATTAAGCTCCAGGGTTGTGAAACTTCCAAGTAGGTAGGAGTGTCGTGTCTGTCTGTGCTGATAGTTTTCTAATTCTCTTTCACCTTTATCCCAGCAGAAGGGAAAGGGTTTCAAACTGCCGAGCTAGGGACATGGGTGTTGGGACACTTTTCTCTTTGACTGTGCAGCTGTCCCAGGGCTCTTGACTTCACAACACTTTCATTTTTCTGTGGTTGAGTGCCAGTCTGTCGTCTCCACACGCAGCTGTATGTCTGTTACCCGTTGCCAGCCTGCTCCTCCCCATTTCTTTCCCTTCTCCCGCCCCTCCCCTTCTTATGTGGAAGAAGCGTGTGAGTGCAGGCGCTTCTCTTCGGCCCTCTTTCCTTCCCTCCATCAGTCACTCACAAGTAGTGCATTTTAAATACTCCTAGGCTTTGATCAAGAAGTAATCTGAAAATTACCACTGGGAGGAATGTCTCTGTAGTCTTAAAAGTTGGTTGTGGATATTGTGTAATTGAAGGGATCAGGTGTATCCATGTTTTCTGTGACCAGAAACCTTATGCCTTATCTGGGGATGAACATATTATGCTGTGGGAGAAGTGTTTTAAAAAAATCACCCAGTGCTGTTTGTGATTACCTGTTTAAATACTTACATATTCGGGTTTTTTTCCCCCCTTTTACACATCCTGTAACTATAATTGCGGTGTGTGAATAATGGTGCTATTTAGAAAAGTGATCTTTCTTAACGTATTTTTAAAAATGATTTCTTCTAGAGACAAAAAAGCGTCAGTGTAAAGTTCTTTTTGACTACCTTCCACAAAATGAGGACGAACTGGAACTGACAGTTGGGGATATCATTGATATTAACGAAGAGGTAAGGACCTTAAGGACTTTGTGCATTTGCAGTAGTACAGCAGCAGGTGGTATAGCTTCTAGAAGAGGGCTTTGTCAGAATATTAAAATTTATAAAAATTTATGCCAACTTTAAGTAAATTTGAAGACAGTCTTTGTTAGTTGTCCTTGCTATATACTATTTGTGTGTTTTCCTTAAGGAATAAAAACAAACTTTTTTTTTTTTTTTTTTTGGTTTTACGAGACAGGATTTCTCTGTATTGTTTTGAAGGCTGTCGATCCAGCCCGGCCTCGAACTCACAGAGATCCGCCTGCCTCTGCCTCCCGAGTGCTGGGATTAAAGGCGTGCACCACCACCACCCGGCAAAACAAACTGTTTTTAAGCTTAAAATTAATGTTCTGTTGATAGGATAGCTCACCCAAACCTGGCTACCTGATTTCCATTGTAACCCATACACAGGTGGAAAGAGAGAATTGACTCTGCAGTGTTGCCCCCGACCATATGCATGTTGCATGCGCAAACTCATACTCACAACATGCACAGATAGGCTTGTAATAATCCTAAAAACGTAAAATTATTTGTTATTTAAACAGCCCCGAACACTAGAGAATCTTGTCTTAATTCTCTGTTGGCACAAGACAGTAACAGAAAAATTTCCTTTTGCATAATACAGGAATGCAATATAGAATTTGCTTTAAAGTCTGTCATGAATTGTTGTATTTAAATACTAGCCAAGTATGCTTTTTTCACAGTTTAATACTTCAGAATGAAATATGAAAATATTTCTCATTTCTCACATCTGCTTTTCTCATTGAAGGGATATAAGTGTTTTGCTGTGCAGTGAAGACGCTGTTTTCAAAGAGAGCACTTTGATAAAATATATTGTAGCAGGAATTGATTTTGTGTCATAATTTCTTACTTATCACTGCGTCTGTAATAACGCTGAGAATGCTTATACAAAAGGCATTCTGATCTACTCTATCTGATGGCACCATCAGTTAGTGTTTATTTGGAAGTACTGTGCTAAAATAAGTTTCACATTTATTTCCTTTAAACAACAGTCTAACAGAAAGGAATATTTATCTTTATATCTCAGAGGTAGAGATTAAGTCACATTGCTTATTGTTGTTGCTCATGATACATAAGAAGCTACCCCAAAATTAGTGGCAAAAACAACTGCTATGCTTGTGGGTCGTGTGGCTCAAGTATCAGATAGAGCACAAGAGGATTGACTTGTCTGTTCTGTCGGAGCTCAGCTGCAAAGGTTCAGGGTAAGGGGTGGTGAGTGAGGGAGCCTTGTAAGAAAGCCTCTTTAGTCACACCTAATGCCCGATAGCCACTTAGACAGCTATTTAGTGTCCTTTCCACTTGGGTTGGATTTCTTAGAGAATGGAATGCCTGGGCAGTTGATCTTACAATCTTGAAATGGTCAAGATTCTGAAACCTCTTGACTGCTTATCTAATAATCAAAAAGCTTCAGATTTTGGGTAAAGTTAATGTAACTATTCCATAGTTTGAAATCTGAAACACATTTCGAGTACAGGGTGCTTGCTTTGATTTGCAGTTTCACAACTCTTAAGTGCAGCTCTATTAGCAAACAGGGTGAAGTGCCTCTTACAGTCTAGCCTTGGAAATGATAGCTACTTACAAACCATTTAGAAGTCGTCAGGAGTGAAGTGGGAGAGCTCAGAAATTATCGGTTCTTGATGGGAACGGTGTCAAGACCATATTTGTTGTGTGAGATACCTTCACTTTATATCTGCCTGACATGCAGTGGCCTGAATTTGAATGTGTGTAGCTTGTTGTCTTGTTGTACCTGCCTTGAAGGTTCCCCCCAGCCCCCATGGAGGATGTGAACCCAGGGTTCTGTGCATAGTGGGCCCTTGGTTTTTTGAGCCAGAGTCTGGCCTCAAACTTGTCTTCCTTTTCACCTCCTGAGCATTGGAATTGCAGGCATGTATCAGGTTGCTAGACTTTGCAGTCTGTTTTCAAATGATTGCTTGCTTTTTGTTTGTTTGCGTCTTAGAGACTGGTTCTTATAGCCCAGGCTGGCCTTAAACTGGTCCTACTCCCTTAGCCTCCTTAGGGATGGGATTACAGGCATGTTCATCCTTTATCTTAGTTTTTTCTTCCTTCATTCTTGGAGACAGGGTCTCACTCTGTAGTCCACTTCCTGGAGCTCACAATTTAGCTTGGTCTAGCTTTATGTTCAGAGCAGCTCTCCTCCTGCCCTATGTCCTGAGTGCTGTGGTCAGACATGAGTCATCATGCCCAATTTCATACTGCCTTAAGACTGCTAAAACCTCTGAGCTCTTAATGTTTGCTGCTTTACATTGCCATCCCAATGTACCTAGCTATTTGTTATTTCCGACATATTGTCTGTAACCGTCATGTGTTTTGATGTGACTGTTTTTTTTCCCACATGCTTTTAATCTAGAAGATTCTTATTTATGCTTACTGTTGAGCTTTTTGGTCATTTGCTTTTAGGGGAGAAAACTGATATTTTCAAGCTTATGCCCTAATTTCCTATTGTACTTTGTTCCCACTTTGATTGTAGCATTTATTTTTACATTTCATTATTAATAGTTCTTTTTTGTTTGTTTATTTTGTTTTTTTGAGACAGGTACTCACTGTGTAGTTTTTGCTGGCTTGGAACTAAAAAAGATTGGTCTGTCTCTTTCTTTTAAGTGTTGGGCTTAAAGGTGTGTGCTACCATGCCTAGCAGTTACATTCTAACTATGTGTTTACTGCTTTCTTAGATTGTTTTATTCAAGTGCAGGGATGCTATAGTCTAATAGTTTCTCAGTTTAGCTATTTCAGCAAAGGCAAGGAAGGGATTTCTCAGATGCAAGATTTGAATCTTTTCCTAGCAGTAATTCATGGCTTGTACATAAAGAGTGCCTATTACATCAGTTATTTATTAAAAGTTGGTGTCCAGTCTGGGCATAGTAGCACATGCTTTTAATCTGGAGGCTGAGACAAGTGGATCTTTGTGAGTTTGAGACCGGCCTGGTCTGTTAGTGAGTTCCAGGATAGCCAGAAAAATTACGTAGAAACATAGAGTTTGTCTTCAGTTATGAGTTGGATAATATTGAAGATGATTTATGTAAATGAGATAGTTCTAACTGTGATGTAATGCTGATATGTAAATGGCGACAGCAGTATACTCTACAGAATTTGCTGATACTAAAATCCTTCAGCATCCACAGCAGAAACTGCACATCTGAACAGTTACTGAATTCTTTTTAATAAATTGAGCAGTCTTATTGTTAGTGAGTATAACTGCTTTGCTAACTTTTTTGTGTGTGTGCCTTTTGCTGTTTTGCTGGCATGTGTGTCTGTCTGAGAGTGTCGGGTCACTTAGAGCTGGAGTTAAAGATAGTTGTGAGCTGCCATGTAGGTGCTGGGAATTGAACCCAGGTCCCTTGGAAGAGCACCAGTGTTCTTAACCACTAAGCCATCTCTCCAGCCCCTGCTAAAGCATTTGATTCATGGGGGATATTTCTGTTTGAGTAAGGTGTTTATTAGATGAATTTTGAAAGTGATTTTTTTTCAGGGTTGGAGAGACAGCTCAGCATTTTAGAGCACTGGCTGCTTTTCTTGGAGGACCCCAGTTCATTGTCCAGCATTCACATGGCAGCTCACATAGTGACTCTAGTTCCAGGGCCTCTGATGCCTTCTTATGGCCGCTGGGGCCACTACATGCATGTGGTGCACACACATTCAGGCAAATGTCCATGCACATAAAATGAACAAAGTAATAAAACAAACAAAACCAAAATCAGTTTTTTTCATACTTTGGTTAAGAATCACTTTAACTACAAGGGGGGGGAATAAGATTTTTTTATCACTTTGGAAATGACATCCTTAGAAATGTTTTTACATTTATCATTAAATTTATCTTTAATTATGTACATGTGTATGGGTCTGTGTGTAGGTATGTGCAGGTGCCTGAGGTGGCTAGAGGTTTGTGATCCCCAAGAGATGGGATGCTGTGAGCTGTCTGACATGGTGCTGGGAATTGAACTCTGGTCCTCTACATTCTTAACCCCTGAGCATATTTGCGTGATGTGCTCATGCCATGGCACATGTATAGAGGTCAGAGAACAACTTTTGGAAGTCAGGCCTCAGGGATCAACTTCAGGTTGGCAAGTACTCTAATCTACTGAGTCATTTCACCTGTCTCTTAGAGTTACTGAGCTTTGCCCAAACTTTTTTTTAAAGTAAATAACATACCTTATATTTATAAACAAGGCTCAGTAATGTGTGGGTACCTTTCCAGTCAGGGGCTATATGCCTTTTCAGTTATACATTATACTCTATTCCAGGCAGGAGCTATATGCTTTCTCAGTTGTACATTATACTCTCTCACGTTAATAAAACATTTGCTTCATAGGTTGTAATTGATTGTAAGTTCTCATTGTAAACATTGCAAGTAATATGATTAATTCCATGCACAATTAATGTAGTATTCATTTAAAAATATTAATAAGATTTTATCAACTTAAATACACTTCCCTGTTGTGATTTCTTTCTTTTAAAGTACTTGTTTTGCATCATTATTTGCTCATTTATTTTACAGTTCAGTTTTTCCATAGAGTGAAGGTTTTCATTGACAAGGATTTTATTACATATGAGCTGTGAACTTTTTCAGGTAGAGGAAGGCTGGTGGAGTGGAACCTTGAACAACAAGCTGGGCCTTTTCCCCTCAAACTTTGTGAAAGAACTAGAGCTCCCAGATGATGGTGAGACTCATGAAGGACAGGACGAATCAGGTAGGTGAAAGACTTTACTGTGACTTCATCTTTTGGAATTCTTTTGGGTGCTTAATCAGTTTCAGCTAATCTAGTTTTAAAAAGCAAATTATAATGGGAATAAAAGGGAAAAAATACCTGGTCAATAATTTTTCTTTCTCTGAGTTCTGTTTTATCTGTACTTTTTCAATTGCTGAGGTTGCAAATGGCCTAGCTTAATAAATAGTTGAGAAAATTTATCATAGCAATCTTAACTTTTATTTTCTATATTCATATACCAGATTCTGTTTTTTCTGTAGCCAAATGCCATTTAATTGTTGTTGCTATTATCGTTATTGGTCTTTTGAGATAAGTTCTCTGTCTGTAGTTTTGACTGACATGGAACTCACTGTGTAGGCAAGGCTGGCTTCGAACAGCTTCCCAAATGCTAGGATTCCAAGTGTGTGTCCTACCGTGTGTAACTTAATACATTTGATCTGTTGTCAGAGACACAAATTCATCTTAATGTGCTCACCATTCAAGGATTTGAGGAAAATTTAACCCAAGCTAGTTATAAATTAACACCATTTTAAAAAAATTGCTGTGGTCTTTAGGAAAGTTGCATTAAAAGATTACTTACAATTTCAGTGCAGGTAGAACTGTACATATACTGAGGATTTTAAAAAGTAATGCTTCTATTAACTAGTAATACATAGCCATTTTTTGTTATATATATATGCATATATATATATTCATAGATTTTGAGGGGTAGTCTATAACCTAAGGATGCCAGTTACTTTTTCTTTTAGGGTCAGTATAATGCCAAGGTATTTGTGTGTGTGTGTGGGGGGGGTGTGGGTGGGTGTGTGTGTGGTCCTTTTTTATGTGAGTAATGGCAGTGAATATATGGTATCTTTGCTTTTCTGTAATTAATTTGCAAACTAGTAATGATTTTATCAAAAAGGTATTATATGCAAGTGCAGGGCAGTGTTCTGTTCTGAAGTATTATTTCATCTGACTTTTGTCAGTGTTGTAGTGTTTTATATATGGATGAGCAAATGATATGAAGTGAAACAAAAGCTGTTAATGTGTATAGAATGGATTTCTGAGCTTTAGTGAACTGAATGACAAGAGATCTTTAGAGAAAATAAATCCAAATTTTCATAGAGAAAATTTCATAGATGAGGTTGGAGAGATGGCTCAGCAGTTAAGAGTACATACTGCTCTTTCAGGGCACTTGAGTTTGTTTCCTAGCATGCATGTTGGGCAACTCACACAGCCTGTAACTCCAGGTCCAGGGGAATGTGGTTCCTTGGACATCTGCACTCATATGCACATGCCCACACATACAAATAATTTGCCTACAGTACCATTAATGTAATTGATAAAAGAAATCTAGAGTTCAGTTTTGAAATTATTCTTAAGTGTTGTGCTTGTAGATTTAGTATTTTAGACTTTGAAAAAGAATCCCTGCACCTTTTGTCATTCTTAATTATGTGTTTAGTTTTACATATGAATGGGGTGGTATCTCCCCTAACACTACTACCTAAGAAATTTGGACCATGGAGAGCAGTCAGTCTTTTTAAATTAATTTGTTTAATGTTTATGGGTGTTTGCCTGCATGTTGTGTGTATGCTACATGTGTGCGTGGTTCTCACAGATGCCATAAGGGTATTGGATCCTTTGGGATTGGAGTTAACAGTTGTAAGCTGACATGTGTACTGGGAATCAATCCTGGGTTTTCTGGAACAGCAGCCTGTGCTAGTGCTCTTAACTGCTGAGTCCCCTCCCCAGCCCAAAAATGCAGTCTTACTGAATGGTAGAAAGCATGAAGAAAGTTGATTTTTTTTGGGAGGAAAAGCTAGACTTTTTAAATGGCAGAAAATGGCATGAGGTGTTAAAGTTCAGAAGCATCTAGATCCTAGAAAGTTCTATGAACTCTGTAGTTCCATTTGAGTGATTGATTTTAATTTGTACTTATTAGATTTTTTTCTCTCTCCGTGTGTATGTATATCTGCATGTGAGTATGTGGGTACCCGGGAAGGCCAGAGAAGGATGTCAGATCTCCTGGAGCTGGAGTCACAGGCTGCTGTGAGCTGGCTGACTGATATGGGTGCTGGGAACGGAACTCAGGTCCTCTGCAAGTAATCTTAACTACTGAGCCATCTCTCCAACCCCTAGCCCATTTTGTAGCAGAGAAACTTGACACTGTTATGATTATATGCTTTTATTTTATTGAAGAATCACAGTTTCTAAGAATTTTGTCATTTGAATCCCATTGCCGAGTACTTTTGTTCACAGTGTTGCTTTATAGGACCATCTTTTGAAGCATTTTGTTTGTTTCTTTTTTGTTGTTTTTCTGTAAGGGTTGGCCTCAAATTCATGGTAATCTCCTGCCTTGCCTCCCAGGTACTGAGATTACAGGCACGTGTTAGAAATGTTTTTTTTTAACTTGGGGAAACATTAAATGAAAGAATTCTCATGTATGTATCCTATACCCAGATTTATACAGTTAACAGTTCACCATGTGCTAATTATTGTTCATGTTCTCTCTATATCTGTTTTAGAAATCTTGTTAATCTTTGAGAACTAGTATAGTCTCATAATTACATAATTGTCATTATCAAATCAGGACATTTTATATTGATAATATTGTTTCTCACATAGTTCATGTACAGACTTCTTTGATTCTTTTATGCTGTTAACATGATTTCTTTTCTTCTTAACTTAGGACCACACATGCGGTTTACTTTTCATCTGTAGACTAGTTGCTTTATCTTCTTTTGCTCTTCTGGGCATTGAGACTTTGACTTTGATTTTTGAGTGGATTCAGTTTGTTCACTTAGTATCTGCTGCACTTAGGTTCTGGGGATCCTGGTAGATATCAGAATAAGAGGACAGGGTTTTCTTTCTAAAATGGCATAGAATTTGCATATAATTTAGGCACATCTGATTGTGTATATTAAGTAACTTCCAGTTTTACTTATAATACCTAAAACAATGTAAATAGTTGTTACATGTATGTATAAGGAAAAACTAGAAAAAGTCTGTAAAGATGCAGCTATCTAACCACATTTCCACTTGATTGAATCTGGATACAGAACAGTTGGGTATAGAACTTCCATGGATAGTGTGATCTCACTGTGTCTTTGCTTGGAAGGCTTTTTGAAGGATTCTTACGACTTCTAGTGTCTGACTTAGGATTTTCTTATTAATCACGTGATTATTGATGCCTTTTCTCACTGCTCTATTAAACAAACAAACAAAAAAATCAAAAACCTCAACCCCTTCCCTTTAATTATTGTCTCTTTGGTTTCATTTTGAAGCAGAATTTACTCTTCCTTTTTTGCACACACATACACACTGGCAAGCTACTAATTAAAATATATAAATTTTTATCATTCCCAAATACCTGTTTTTGTGGAATAGTGTGACATGTTGATGTCCAATGAAAGAATAGTACTTTTTGGCATACAGAGAACTTTTTGGACAGTTTAGAAAGTGCAATTTTAACTGTCAAAGGTATTTGTATCATTCTTACTAAGGGTGATGAAATTGGAAGTCTTGATTATCTACTGAGTAGTAAAATCACAGTTGGGCTTCTGTTGCCTTCTTTTATACTACTTAACCTGTGGAAGGCATGGACAGGAAATAAGGTACTAGGTATTTATTAGTATTGCAACCCTGTGATTTGCTTGTTAGATTTTAATTTCCATAAGTCATAACTGAGATTTAAAGCAGTAAGTGTTAAGGATAGAGAAACTTCAGACTTAAGGCATTAAAAACACTAAATCACAGAGACTGTATTAATTATGAAGCTGTTGGCCATTTGTTTGTTTCCTACTGACTATCTCTGACTCAAATATTTACCCCATAATTGTTAATCTAAGTATTTCTTTTACCGGAGAAAGGGTCCAGACCTTTTACTCCTCTGGAGGCTACATCGTGACTGACTCTGCCTCTCTTTCCCAGAATCCTCCTTGACACCTAGTCCCACCTATCTTGCTTCCCTATTGGCCAACAGTGCTTTATTGATATATACACAGGACTTCCCCATCACTGAGTAGTACATTTCAATGGAGGCTTGACATTAAATCTGAAATCTAATAGTCATAGACTGAAGGGAAATTCTGCATATAAAAGCTATTACTATTGACTTAACATCTATAGTTTGTTTACTTTTAGTATATTGAGCGCTTGGCTTGTTGTCCAACATACTGTGCCAGATTCTGGCGATGCAGTGGGGAATAACAAACACCCCCCTTTGAGCTTTTGTTCCATTCAAAATTAAAGGCTACTTATTAAATAAGTCAAAGTTAATGTAATTTGACATGAAAAATATTTGTCACAAGGAACTTCAGAGTACTATAGATGTTATAAGAGGGGGGAGGAGAACCTTTTGCAGAAGTCATGTATTGAGATCTCAAAATGAATGGGCTTCAGCAAACTTGAATGAAGAAAAACCATAATTTTTTTTCATTAATTTAGAGAATTTTGGATTATATAGTTGAAGGCAGTAAGTGTTAAGGATAGAGAAACTTCAGACTTAAGGCATCAAAAACACTAAATCACAGAGAAGGTGTGAAGGCGAGTGAAATGATCAAATAGTTTTATTAAGCTGGATTGTTATGGTTGCAGTGTAGAGGTGCATTGAAGAAGACTTGGCTGGCAGGGCCAGCTGAGAGTGTTTGATGATTTAGATAGAAATGGTACTTGTCTAAACTAGAAGAATGCTGTGGTGATGGAGAGGCATGGGTAGAATGGGAGAGCTACACAGGTTCTGTGTCATATAGGACCTAGTTATGATGGGATGTGGAGAGTGACTGAAGAAGATTGGTCAGAGATTACCAGCCAGTCCTTGGGCTAAGGCAGGTACTCTTTCTGGAGATAGGATTAAGTGGGGGGGAAATTGGTGAATTTACTTTGGAGATGTTGAGTTAGTGCCCTGCTAGGGAATATGAGACTATCCAAGTAAATATAATCAAGATAATCTCTCTTCCTCTCTCTCTTCCTCCTCTTTGTTCCTTCACGTACAATACACAAACAAAAACAAATGAGGGGCCAACTTTGAAAGCTTTTGTATTGCTGTTGTAAAATTAACAATAAACTGGATTGTTTCTATTGATTGTTGTGTTTTCATCAGGTGTCTGTTATATTACTTTTCATTTATACCCAGTATAACCCATGATTGTTTTGTTAATTTTTCAAACAAAGGATCACATTTGAATTTTAAAGATCGTTTTATGTCACTATGTGGAGGTACACATGAAGTAGCTTTTTTTGTATAAATTTAATGAAAAAGTAACAAATTTTAGAGTAAGTAGTGAGATATATATATATATATCCAGTGACTACTAGTGTACATTCAAGCTGTAGCAGAGATGTATTTAATGAGCTATTAAAATGAGATGCTAACGAATAGTGGGACAAACCAAATGAGAGGAAAGGAGTAAAAATAAGTGAGTAAATAAAAAACAAGAAGCAAACTAATGGATTTAAAATCATTAATTATATTAATTATAAATGGTCTGAAAATTGAAAGGACAAGATTGTCAGACTGGTAAGTATACTGTCAGAGCCTCAAAGCAGGTTACAAGAAAAAGAATTTAGTGTTCTGTGTGAGACATATTAAATCTAGGATGGTCATATTAATATCAAATGGTCCTGCAGGAAGAGAAATTCTATCATGAAGGTTCTTTATAGCAAAGTGCTCTTTCATGATCTAGTTCACTTCTGCCAATCCTAACACTAGTGTCAGTCAGTCCTCCCCAGGTGGTGATGAATCAATCAGTCATCTCCTAGTGGGTGCCACCTCTCAAGTGACCCATCAGCTTTCTGTACCATTAACTTCAAGCACGGGAACCTTTAGGAGACAACTGTATCTAAGCTGTAGCACTTGCTAAGAATATTTTGTGTTAGTTTCCTGAATTTCTTAGTCATAATATTAAATACAATTGGAATAGTTACTGCTTTATTAAACACAGAAACAAAAAACAATGTAAAGTACATCTTGCTTGGTTGAGCATTGTGCTATTAATCTTACTGTCTTTGTTCTCTATCTTTTTAATTAGAAAGTATAAGATGTTGTAGAAAGTGATATAAAGACTTTTGTAATTTTGGGTATCATTCTTCATAAACAATTATATTTTTTAGAAATAGCTTTGACTGGCTCTACCTCACCTTTACTGTCTCCGGGGAATGGGAGTGAAACTGCTCCTGGATCAGTTACTCAGCCAAAGAAAATCCGAGGAATTGGATTTGGAGATATTTTTAAAGAAGGCTCTGTGAAACTTAGGACAAGAACATCCAGTAGTGAAACAGAAGAGAAGAAAACAGACAAGGTAGTGTACTAGTTTGGTTCTGCATTCCTATAATCTATACTGACCAAAACTGACTTGGAGGCAGGAGAGAGCTTGTTTGGCTCACATGAGGGAATCAAAGCAGGAAGCAAGCGGGAGTAGAGGCAGGAACCATGGAGTAAAGCTGCTCACTGGCTTGCTTAGCTGGTGTGATCCCTCTCACATCAGTCAGCAATCCAGAAGATGCTTCAGAGACATGACCCACAGGCCAGTCTACAGAAGCAATTCCTCAGTTGAGCTTCCCTCTTCGATGATGCTAGCATATGTTAAGTTGACAAAAACTTAACCGTCACAGGCAGTCACAGTTAACTGTCATAGATAGTCATAGTTAGCCATCACAGGCAGTCATAGTTACATCACAGGTAGTAATAATAAATTGAACTTAGATTAATTTTATTTGTTGTTTCATTTAGCATTTTTTGGAGTGAGGATACTGGTTTTTTGTGATAAGAATTCCCTATGTAGCCAAGGCTAGCCTGGACCTCAAGATCCTCTTGGTATCTCACCCTTATCACTAAGCTTTTTTTAAGTTGTTAAGGTTTGAAAATCTGTTAATTTTCTCTTAGGGGCCATGGGCTCTTACTTATGAATGAAAAGTTTATGGGAAACTTTTCTTTTGATTTGTAATGGTTAATAATTATATTTCAGTGTTATAAAATAAGGTGCTTATTAATTGATAAATCTAAGATAGACTTTTCTTACTGGCAACCTTAGGATCTTTTAGTTATAGTGTAAATATAAAAGTGAAATATTTTCATTTTTGTCTTTTAAAGCTAAAGATTTGTCATTTTTCTTTTAATTTGATAGCTAAAAATCAACTAAAGTGAATTGAAAGTGAAATACTAAATACCTATGTGCTACTTAACTTTTTTCTGGATTAATTTTATTAGCATTTAATGACATTTTCAAATGAAGTTAAGTGAACAATCCATAATTTATAATATCTAATAAAAATCTAAAAAGTAAGCCTTTACATTTTTGTTTTAGGGGGAAATACAGTTTTGAGCATTTCTTTCCCAGTGTCTGTATTTTGGAGATACTGACTGAGCAATTGCTTTAGAAGATAGGAACTTTATCCCTATAGCTCTCATTTAAAAAAATTTATATATACATATATATATATTATATGCTCACGTATGTATATTTGTAATGTATGTACATAAGCCCAGGAATATCAGAAGAGGGAGCTGAACCCTCTGAAACTGGAGTTACACTGTGTTTCATTGAGCTGCTTGAGTTGGTGTTGGGAACCAAACCTGGGTCTTCTTTAAGAGCAGTAAGTGCTCTTATCTGCTGTACCATCTCTCCAGGGCTTGTAATTCTCATTTGTATCTCCTTATCTCTTAAAAGTTTAAAATATTTCATTATTTACCCAATTCAGCTACATCTCCTTTGGTTGGTGAAATACATTGTTATTTATCCCAAGATGGTAGCTTTCAGTGTCTTCTCTGCCAGGTTGCTACATATTTTCCTATTTAATTATGAGTTAGATTCAGGAAAGAGCACCTCTGCTTCCTGCCCTGCCCTATCCTATCTGTGAGACTCTTGGCATTAAGATTTTAGAGTCTAGTTCAGTGTGATGGCATGTATCCTTAAATCTTAGAACTTGAGGCAGAGAGGCAGGAGTCTCTGCGAGTTAGAGGCCTGCCAGACCTACATCTCAATTTCTAGGCCCACCAGGGCTCCATAGCGAAATGCTGTCTAAAAAAAAAAAGAAAAAGGAAAAAAGATTGTAAGGTGTAATGAATTTGATCCTCAGTTTTGTGAAATGGTGTTCTATAGCCTTTGCTCTGTGAGCGATATTGGACTAATGATCATGGGTCCCTTCTAGCTATAAAAAGGGTGTAATTGTACTGAATGACTTATTTGACCAGTGACATTACATTAATATCCTGCCAGTCACAATTAATGGTGTCTACTGCTTAATTGTTAGTGAGAGTAGTCTCCGAGTCATTTAAAGGGAGCACTTGGTATGTTTTAGGTGATACAGTATTGGAAGGTATGGTTAGAACAGGGAGAAATTAAAGTATTTTGGAAGACACGTAAACATAATAGTAGGTTAGTTATCAGCGTGTTCATATTTTTAACCATTGAAATCCAATACCACATGTACTTTTCTGTTTGGGTAAAGAACCCAAGGAAGCAATTGTTGAAGGTGGTGCAGGACCTACCATACTCTGGAGAAATGTCTAAGTGGGCTATGTTAGAGTTATAATAGTACATAAATATTTTCATTCAGATAGTAATGAATTACAAAGTTTTAAAATTCCCTCTTTCAGCATTGGGGTGTTGTGAGAGTGATATAGATGCAATACTCATATATGAGACTCAAACACAGTATATACATACAAGAAATTAAAATACATAAATAGGATGAAATTCCCTCTAATTTTAAGGTTAAGTGTTAAGAGTCAATTTTTGTAGGTTCAGACCTGGGCTCCAGGACTAAAATCACTGCTTTGTTGGGTTAACGGCTTCCTAATGTAAAAAGGAAGAGACAATCCCTGCTTGATGCAGAAAGTTGTAAGGATTAAAGTGTTTATTAGTTTTATTTATTTTAGAAGTTCTAGTATTAAATCATGATGTGCATACCAGAGCCTATTTATTATTTTTAGATACTTTTAAAAATTAGTGGCTATTGGGACTGGAGAGATGGCTCAGTGGTTAGGAGCACTGGCTGCTCTTCCAGAGGACCTGGGTTAGATTCCCAGCATTCACATGGTGACTCACAACCCTCTATGACTCCAGTCTCAGGGAACCCACTCCCTCCTCTGGACTCTATGGACATACACTTGATGCACAGATATACATGCAGGCAAAACACTGATACATGTAAGAAGAAAAAAATTAGCTATTATTTCAGGAAATTTTGAGATTATTAATTTTTTATTGCTGAGTTTTTTTTTTTTTTTTTTTTTTGGTTTTTTGGTTTTTATGAGACAGGGTTTCTCTGTATTGTTTCCGAGGCTATCGGTCCAGCCTGGCCTCGAACGCACAAAGATCCGCCTACCTCTGCCTCCCGAGTGCTGGGATTAAAGGCGTGCGCCACCACCGCCCGGCTATTGCTGAGTTTTTAGTTAGACTAATAACCTGACTAAAAGAACCATTAGGGAGGGCTGGGCAAGTGTAAAAGAAAACTTGATTTAACGGTATTGTTCTTAGGCTGGAGACATGACCTAGCAGTTAAGGACGCATATTGGTCTTGTAGAGGACTAGAGTCCAATTGCCAATATCCAAGTTAGGTGACTCACAACCATCTGTAATTCCAGCTCCAGGGATCAACACCATCTTTTGGCCTCTATGTGGATTCACATAAACATTCCCACACAGAGACACATATACATACATTTAAAATTAAAGTAAAATCTTTTTAGACTTATTTATTTTTGTTTTATGTGTGTGGGTGTTTTGCCTGCTTGTATATCTATACCACATGTGTGCCTCGTACCTTCAGAGGCCAGAGAGCTCCTTGGATTCCTTGGAACTGGAGTTACAGATAGTTGTGAGCCACCATGTGGGTGCTAGGAGTTTGAGCCTGGATCTTCTAGAAAGGCAACAAATGCTCGTAACCACTAAGCCATCTCCCAAGCCTGAAAAGTAAAATATTAAAAAAAATTATTTTAACTTAAACTAATTGTTGCTGTCCTTTTGTAGCCCTTAACCCTGCAGTCACTGGGATCCAGAATCCAGAATGTGGAGGTGACTAAACCAGACACTGATGGCAAGATTAGAGGTAAGTTCTAAAATAACCACTCTAGTATAAATATGCTTTTAAATTACTAACTCATTAGAGGGACTTTTACACTGTACGAATTCCCAGAATATTAAATCCTACTGAATAAAAGCACAGGAGGTTGAGAATTCTGATGTGCCCTGTTCATTTAAGAATCTCTCTTAAGTAAAACTATGTTTTGTACATAACAGACACTGAATAATATTTCAGTGATAGGAAAATTTTTTCTTAACATTGAGTATAAACTTTAAAATTATTAGTTTAACCTTTAATAGCTTAGTGAATATATTACTTTTCATAGAGGCTTAATAAGTGTCTGCTTCATTAATCAATTTGTCTAAGTCACATTATATTCTTTACTTCAGCTAAGGAATATTGTAGAACATTATTTGCCTATGAAGGAACCAATGAAGATGAACTTACTTTTAAAGAAGGGGAGATAATCCATTTGATAAGTAAGGTAAGGTTTTTTTTTTTTTTTTTAGTGAATTATCATTCATAGAAATATCTTTCAAAATTCTTGCATTGCCTATAGAATATTAGCATCAGATGGACTGGAACTTTATCTTGTTTTTGGGCTCTGGGAACATAAATACAAACTCTTACAGTGATTTCTTTTTAAAGTTTTTATTGTCTGTATTGCTTGTAATTGATATACAGTGATGGGTGCTAGAGAGATGACTTAGCAGTTAAGAGCACTTGTTGTGTTTGCAGAGGACCTGGGTTCAGTTCCCAGCACCCACATGGTTGCTTAGAGGCATTGTAACTCTAGTTCCAGGGGATCAGACACCTACTTTTGACTTCTGCAGGCATCAGGCGTGCATGTGGTGCATATTCATACGTGTAGGCAAAATACTTAAACACTTAAATAAATCTTGAAACAGAAGAAAAATGACCAGTGATTACATTGCTTATTTTTATTCCTTAAGAATTGAACATTAGTAAGTTTAAAAAAAAAAAAAAAGAAGAAGAAGAAGAAGAAGATCAGGAGATTTGTCTTTCCCTGGGAAAAGGTCTGAGAAAAACTTCTCCTTCCACCCTGTCGGTCCCTGGGTTTGAACTCAGGTTATCAGACTTGGTGGCAGGTGCCTCTGCCTGCTGAGCCGTCTCACCAGCCTTGTTACACCTATTTTACAGAAAGGAATGATTGTGTAAATTAGAATAAATTCTAAGACAAACATACAAAAAAAAAATCAAAGCCTCCTGAGTTTTAGGTCTTATGAGAGAATGTTAAATATTTACTTTTGCTGTAGCCTTTTGGAGTATTTTGTTTTAAAGTTCATCTTACTGTTCTAAGTTAACTGTTAACATTTGACTTAGTATATATGGTTTTTTTAAAGAAATATATTTATTGTGTACATTTAAAGTATATGTATTAAGAATACAAAAAATAGCAAAAATGTTCATGAAATGAATATATCCAGCATCTCACTTAGGCATCCACATGGTAAAGTAGCTGTACTCCATCCATAGAGTTTAGACTGTTAAAACTTCATAGTTTCTGCAGTGGTCATTAAAAGTGCTAATTTCTGAATCTGCTAGATAAGTGATTTTTTTAGGTGTGCATATAAAATGTTAAGATAATAAAAATTTAGGAATTCCTTTTTCTGTTTTTTTTCTTAACTACTGTATTTTTCTCTTCTCTACCTCCCCTGTCCCATATGAGAACATTTTAACTTATAGATTACATTTAAAAATTGATTTATTTTAAATCCTATTTTTGTTTGGATTTTTTTGTTCTGTTTTTCTTTGTTTTTAATTTTTTGGCAGGGTCTCATTCTGTCTAGCATGAAACTCACCATGTAGACCAGGGTGGCCTCAAACTCAGATCTGCGAGTGCCAGCCCCTGAGTTCTGGGACTTAAGGGTGTGTAGCACTACACCTAAGTATTAAACCCAGTTTTCTAGGTACTGCTTAAAGTAGTATGCTGGGAATAGTTTTTTCCTAAGAAAACTTACTGTTTTTGAGGTTGCCCACCCTGGTCCAAGCCCTTTAAAGACAATGGAATTCATCCTAGCTTATTGTGAACTTTGCCCTCATTTAATGGTAACTACTAGCTTGTGCCTGCAGAAGTAGGGGTAGGAGGATGGTGAGTTTGAGGCAGCCTGTGCTACCTGACAAGTTCCCCACCCCCAAAAAGGAAAGAAAACGTGAGGTTTCCATTAGTGTAACTATTTGGTTTGCATTTCAGGAGACTGGAGAAGCAGGCTGGTGGAAGGGTGAACTCAATGGCAAAGAAGGAGTGTTTCCAGATAACTTTGCTGTTCAGATAAGTGAACTAGATAAAGACTCTCCAGTAAGAAAGTTTTCGTTTGCTTTTTAATGATGATGATACTTAATGTTTGCAGATATTCTTCTTCAAAAAATAGTTGCTGTACATTGCTACTGACTAAACTTCATAGTTGTAAATGGAGTTTACATATATATAGAATGATATTCCCCATCACATAGTTTCAGAAAATTGTACATTTAAGTAAAATTTGATGTGCCCTGAAACATTATTTTATTTCAGTCTTATATTTTATTCTTGACATTGACTATGTATTCTGAAGGCCAGCTGTGACCCCTCCCTCCAAGACTTCACAGGGCTTCTCTGTGTAGCTTTGTAGACCAGGCTGGTTTTGAACTCACAGAGATTCACCTCCCTCTGCCTCCCAAGTGCTGGGATTAAAGTTGTGCGCCACCACCGCCCAGCTTAGCTGTGACTTTTCTACATTTTCTGTTTTACAAAAAAGAGCTGGCTTAATATAAGTTGAATAGAGCCTTAATTTTCTGTATGAAATTTAATGTTAATGATAAGTGTCAGTTTATTTTATGGTATTGTGAAGCCAAGTGCTTGCTTCCTTAAACATGTACGATTTCTGTATTAATTCTCAGAGAGAAATGAGTGAGGCTGAATCATTCATGAGTACTAGACACTTTTTTTTTTGCCTATTCATGCCTTGACACTTTCTCCACATGCAAGGTTCCCTGAACTTACAAATTAGAAGGCAAAGCAGTTAGGTTTACGCAGCAAAATAGGCTGTCATCTTCAGTTCAAGCCCATGCAGAGCATGCAAATCCTTGTAGTCTTTAATCACGTTAATTATTGGCAATTACTTTATAGAAACTTAGGCTGTCTCAGTCCTTTCTTTGCTATATTGCATTCAGTTTTGATTCAGCTTGTTCTTTCCTTAATGGGCACTGTTTTTTCTGCTTTCATTATATTACTTACTAGTTATTCTTAATTTGGAGCGACACAATTAAGAATGTTAGAAACTTTTTAAGACACTAAATTAAGTCCTAAAAGTGAATGAATGCTTAGAAATTGAGGGGAAAGGAGGCCTTTGTTTTTAACTGTGTCTGTGAGTTCTTTAGACTTAAGAATAAAAGCTAGGTTCATTGTTACTGTTTTGTTTTTTTATTTTCTCATAAGTACTTTAAGGTTATTTTTTTGCTTATTTTTTCACAGGTTTGTACATATATAATATGCATTGATCATATTCCCCCTCTATTATTCTCTTTTATCACATCTCTTTTCTCAGAGTCCTTTTCCTTCCCAACAAGCCCTTTTCTTTTTGTTTTTTGTTTGTAATCAACTGTATTTAGTTAGAGTGGCTCCACCACAGAGGAATGACACCTCATACCCAGAAACCATTACTGCCTCTAGCTCCTCTGTTGAGTGAGGCCTCTGAGCCCTCCTCAAGTGCTGATGGGCTCAGTCTCAAGCACACAGCCACTGCTGCCATGGACCATGATGGATGCCCACATCACATCCCAAAGCCAGCTCTTCACAGGGCTCCTTCACACCGTGTGTCTGCGTTCTTTCTTTCTGCATCCACTGTTGTGACATTTCTGAGCCTCGGTGGGGATAATACACATGGACCGCTTGGTGCTGAGTGATGATAAGTAGTTTATTCTTAGCACTTTACCTGTTACAAGTCTCTGCACTATCTGTAGCTTGCTCAGAGCAGAAGCTGCTCTGATTAAGGCAGAGAGCAACACTATGAATATAAATAGAAATATTTAAAAGGCAGTTCTGTATCTTGTCCATATAGAAAACATCAATAGTGGTTCCCCCTTGGGGCCTGTGACTTCCCACTCCATGTGCTTTTGACCAGGTTTGTAGTACCAGGCTCTACCCTATGGTAGAGCAGACATCATTCTAAGTAGAAGGTACTTGGCTACATCCATATAGATTCCAGTGTACCAGTGGGCACAGGCCTTCCCTTCCTTCAACTCTTACCCACTCTTTTCCTCTGTCTCTGAGCTGTGAAGAAGGGACAAATTAATGTTTAGAAATCTAAAACTAATTAGATGAAGTTGGAAAACACTTGCTCACCAAAATTCTTTGATTTTACCCCAATGAATTGCTTTTCTTTCTTTTTTTTTTTTACTTTCGATTCTGGAATCTGTTTGGTTATCATAACTTTTTTTTAGTTATCTTCCTAGAGTTTTTAGGTTCTTAGTATTTCATTGTTCTTGGCAAGATTGAGGTGAGAAACAATATAATTTATACGAATTTATTTTAACTTTAAATAGCTAATCAATTTTAACTTTTTTTTTTTAAACTCCCTCTCAGAAACCAAAGAAACCACCTCCTCCTGTAAAGGGTCCAGGTTTGTAAAAAAAATGTATTATTTAGTTTGCTACTTTTCATAATTTTAAGTTATAAATAGTAAGGTTTAGTTTAATATAAACCAATGAATTTTATTATTAGCAAAACCAGTTAAAATGAATATTAAGGTATTTTAGATCTATGTAAAATTGAATGTTCATATGCATTATTCATCATTGTTTTTAAAAGTAGAAATGTTATAAAGATCCTACTCAGGCATGGTGGTGAATATCTGTAATCCTCAAATTTTTAGGATTGTAAGTTCAATGCCAGGTTGCCTGTATAGTTAGACCCTGTCTCCAAAAATAAAATAAGGATCTTAGAAATAATTTGGATATTTCAGTAATAGGAATATTGAGTTAATACATCGAATTAAGTTTAAACCGTTTTAGAATGACTTAGCACTCGGGAGGCAGAGGCAGGCAGATCTCTGTGAGTTCGAGGCCAGCCTGGTCTACAGAGCGAGTTCCAGGACAGCCTCCAAAACAATACAGAGAAACCCTGTCTCGAAAAACAAACAAAAAAAAAAAAACAACAAAAAAAAAACAAAAAAAAAGAAGACTTAGTTGAAATATATATCCCAGTTACATTTTTGTTTTAATTTTACATGTGTGATTGTTTGCCCGCATGCATGTTTGGGAGCCATGTACATGCCATGCCTGCGGTGCCAGAAGAAGGCACCAGATCCACCCTAGGCCCAGAGGTAAAGATGGTTGTAAGAGCTGCCACATTGGTGCAGGAATTGAACCCTGGGTCTCCTGGAGGAGCACCCAGTTCTCTTTAAGTGTTCAGTCATCCATCAGTCCCTCACCCACTCTACTGTGATTGATTGATTGATTGATTGGAGACAGGGTCTCACTATGTAGATCTGGCTAGTCTGGAACTCATTATGTAGTCCAGGCTCACTTAACTCAGATCTGTCTGACTCTGCATCCCCAATGTTGGGATTAAAGGTGTGTGCCATGACACCTGGCTCCATAGTCTACTTTTTTATTTGGATTTATTTTGAACAAATGCTTCTTTATAGAAAGTATTCCTAGATACCTAAACACAGTTTGGAGGTTTTGTGCATTTCTTTTGTTTTGGGTTTTTGTTTGATTTTGGATTGTTGAGACAGGATCTTACTATGAAGCTGAAGGTGAAACCTGTGCTAACTAGATAATTGATGTTAGCCTCAAACTTATGATCTGCCTCTGCCACCTGACTGCTGCAATTTCAGGTGTAGTATGATAATGCCGTCCCTATCATATGGCTTTACAACAGAAATAAAATGTAATCTTATGAGTATAGATGCATTCATCAGATAAACATGCCAAATCAAGGAACAATAATGGTGTTAATCCAAGTATAGATGAAATTAATTTGAATTCTGGTGTTTCATTGAGTTCCAGAAATTACCATCTTTTTTTTTTCCCCTCGTCTTGTATATTATTTTTAAAAGTTAGTATTCACTTTCTTCTCTACCTCCCAGCTCCAAAGCCTGACCTGTTAGCTGCAGAGAAGAAAGTTTTTCCTTTAAAGTCTGAAGAAAAAGGTAAGGCTGATTCCTCCCTTACCCAACAAGTTGCTTCTTTGATTGTCTCTTAAAGAAACATGACCACCTTAGTAGATCATTTACACTTTCTTTATTCACTTGTTGATACTTACTTTACAGGGTTAGGAGTTTTCTAGTTTTCTAGGGATAAGTATTGTGTCACAATGATACAACATTAAATCTTTCATCACACTGATAATTTATATTCATTAAAAAAGTAAATGAATCCTTCAGTAAGATGTAGTATTTAATTATTGTTCCATATTACAGTGAAAATAAATTTCAAAAAGTTTTTGGAATTTAATTATGGAGACTACTAGGAGTTCTTTAATCTGTGTATGAACTTGGCAAGTTTTCTTAGATACCATATATTTTGTCAGAACATTTTATATTGTTTTTAAATGTAGGAAAGTAAGACTTTTCCTGTACAAAAAGATCTGTGATGTTTGTCTCTAATAGATTGGGCACAAACTGGATTTTTGCTTTAGGATGCTTTTATTTCTATGGCCAATGTTAAAGAATTAGTCTATTATTATCTCTTGCCCGAATTATTGTCTTTTTAACTGATTTCTCCCACTTTAGCTCCTTGTCTGGCTTGTACTTCCTTCTTTTCTTCCTAGCACATTGAGTCACAGAAAGTTGAACCCAGGCTAGCAAGATTGACTCAATAGGTAAAAGTACATTGTTGCATAAACCTGATGATCTGAGTTTGATTCCTGAAACCCACATCAAGGTTGTCTATGACCCCCACACATGTACTATGGCATGTGCAACCCCCTATCATATACTCAGAAATAATGAGAGGAAAGAAAGGGCAATTAAACCAAAAATATAATTTGTCTTATACATTTTCATACACTATAAACATTCTGCATCGTAGTAGTATATTGTTATGACTGGTGGTTATAATTATAATTGACATGCCATTTTCTTCAAGAGTTCCTACAGTTGAGTTTACTGTTATGTTGTAAATTCTGTTGCATGAACAAATGCGTAGTAACAAGTACCCACCATTCTGCCTCCACTCTAGTTTCATTTGTCCTGAACATCTCTGCTCTATCTCAAGATCTCCCTCCAGCCTCATCTTTGGCAGTCACTTTTCCCTCACTTGTTTGTATACTTTTATAACTCCCATTATTTGAAATGTGTGGGCATTTTTATTGGTTTCTTTGATTTACTGTTTATATAAAAAATCTACCCATGGTTTTTCATGACTTGGTATCTCATTTGCTTTTACTACTGTTTCATTGTCTTTGTATACTGAGGAATATTTGGATTGGTTCTAGGTTTTTGCAGTTATAAGCAAAGCTGCTATAAACATGTATGCAGATTTTAGTTTGAACATACATTTTAGTTCATATAAATAAATATCAAGGATGAAATTAGTGGATCATTTGGTAGGAATGAGTTTAGTTTTCTAAGTGACTGCCAAACTATTCCTAAAGTGGCTATATTATGTTATATTCCTGCTAGCAGAGGACTAAGCTAAGCAATGAGCCCTTAGTATTTTCTTGAAATTCAGATTTACCTAGCTGTTACAGCTCTACAAGGGCTATACTTGATTATGGACAGAAATAGGAAGTTTTGTGTTTTCCTCCTGGTGGTATAGGTATATGATATACTGCTATATTTTGAGGCCATGTGAAGATAGACTTTTAAGTAGGCATGGTAGCACATGCCTACAATGCCAGCACTTGGGAGGTAGAGGCAGGAGGCTCTCTGAGCTTAAGTGCCTCCTTGTCTGCATAGTGAGTTCCAAGACAGCCAAGGACTGCATAGAGAGAGCTTGTCTTAAAAACAAAAACAACAGACTTTTGTCTTGCATAGTGATCAGTACTTTAACAGATTGCTATTTTTTCATAAGCTCTAAGGGGATAATTACATATGTGATAGGATAGAGGCTTAAGTGTTTGCCTGCATGTATGTGCACCATGTGCATGCCTAGTACCAAGGAGGCCACAAGAGGGCATTAGATCCCTGGAACTGGAGTCACAGACAGTGAGTTATTATGTAGGTTCTGGGAACTGAACCTGGGTTCTATGCAAGAGCAGCCAGAATCTTCTCTCCAGCCCCTATATTTTATATTTTTTTAATTTTAAAGTGAAATTTGTAATTTTAAAGGAGGTGCTGTGTCTTGTGATATTAGTCCAAGTTTAATATTCACTAGTTTCTGACTAAGAGGAAGTTTCATAAAGTTATTTGTAGACTTTTATACACATTATTTTTGAAGACAAGTACTTGGCGTTGGTCCTAAGTTTATTAGTTTTTAACTGTGTCTGTCACACTCACTACTGTATGGATCTGAACTATGTAAGCACAGATGTCTTGTTAAGTATTTGTGCTTAGTACTTGAAAAATAGGAAGTGAATGTGCTGTATGTAGGACCTTAAGTGTTTGGTACCTTTTATGTTGATGAAGTTGTTTTTTAATGAATGTGTCATACAGTTATTCATAATACTGTTACTTAAGTATTTTTATCAAATAAATGTCGATTTCATTAAAATAGCATTACCACCCCTAATAGCTAACAAAACTTACTGGAAGCATAACAGAAAGCATGTGTTATTTTGTAATCAGGTTTTTAATGAGTCTTGGCTTTACTGGGTGATTTTTTTTTTTAAATACAACCTTCAAACAATGTGTGCTTATACTTATAGAATGTGAAGGTTAATAATGATCTCCACCTTAAAAATCCCTAAATAGTTTTGATTATTAATAAGTATTTTTTAATCATCAGATGAAAAATCACTGCTGGAACAGAAACCTTCTAAACCAGCTGCTCCTCAAGTCCCACCCAAAAAGCCCACTCCACCTACCAAAGCCAATAATTTATTACGGTCCCCTGGAACAGTGTACCCAAAGCGACCAGACAAACCAGTTCCTCCTCCACCTCCAACAGCCAAGTAAGCTTTAACCCTATTTAAAATTAGATGTTGATTACCTCCTTTTGACCTGAAGGGCTCTCTTGCCTTTCTAAGTCTCAGTTCCTGTTTTTCATATACTTATTTCTTTGTAGAATATTAATTCCTTAAATGTTAATCTAATATTCAGAGTAAATGAATTCTCTTAAACTGTTTCTGCATTTCTGATTTTGTTGTGATGAGTCTTAAGGATTAGAAACCTGTGTTTATGGATAGCATTATAGAGCAGATTAAAAATTAGTATTATGTTACACAAAATCTTTAATGCTTTTCATTCACTATTTAAAAGTTCTGTTTTACCTTCAAGTCATTTTTGCATGCTTGTTTTTCTCATTTCAGAATTAATGGAGAAGTTTCTACAATTTCTTCAAAGATTGAAACTGAGCCAGTATCAAAACCAAAGCTAGATCCTGAACAATTGCCAGTTAGACCAAAATCAGTAGACTTTGATGCCTTTATAGTCAGAAACTCTAAAGAAACAGGTAAGCTGGAATGGACAAGGTAGTGCTTTCAGAAAGGAGTCAAAATGAGTTTTAGAAACTTAAGATTTGTATATGCAACTTAGAGAAAGAAAGAGTGACAACTAATTGACATGGCCTTAAAATTTGGTAGCCAGAGTAGAAAAATGAGGATGTTAGGTGAATAGAATATAGTTCTGTCTGAGCAGATCTTACTGGTGAGAAAGAAATGCCCAAGTCTGACATGTTTAGTACTTCATTATGTCTTCATAATGTAATGACCATATCTCCTAAACTACTCAGAGTTGAGTACATTTTTATTTTAAAACTTTGAAATTGCGGGGCCAGTGAGATGGCTCAATGGTTATGATCATTGGCTGCTCCAGAGAACCTAGCTTTGTTTTCTTGAATCCACATAATGTGGCAGCTCATAAATAACTCTGTAACTCCAGGTGACATGAAGCCCTCTTCTGGTCACCATCTGTACCTGCATGCTTGCATTTTACAAAACACAATAATACTAGGATTCAGTGCTAGCAAATACTTTATATTCTGTAAAACAAAAATTTTTATCTTCATCTGGAGAAATTTTTGTTATCTACAAGAAAATATTATTATCAATTGACTTCACTTTTGCTAAAGTGTTTCTTAGGATTTAGGGCTTTTTTGTCATCTTGTGTTGTACATATATACTTCTTGGTTCTTTATATAGCTGGAGAGGGGAAAGCTGGAAGCACAAACATCTTGGTGAACTTTTCCTGTTAAGAGCATTAGATAGTCATTACTTTATGGTAATGGATATTATCTTATATAGTATTTTGCATTCCTTTTTAGTTTCCTACATTTTTAGAGGGCTTTTTCATATATGTTATTTTTTAATTTTTATTGTAGCCCTAGGAAATAGATGTCATTTCCCCACATTATATGTAAACAGGTACAGACACATCAATATGCACGTCATGAGAGAGAGTGCTGAAGTCCTTGCATGTAGATAAATGCTCTCATGTTTCATAGAAACTCTTAGTGTTATAGTAGTCTTTTTGGTTTCAATGCTAACATTTTATATTTGCATTTAAGCTTAAATGGTAATTACACAGACTTTTGTCATGATTTTTAAAAATATGCTATTGAATTTAAAAATTTAAAAGTATAAGCCTGTTTTTATTTTGTCTTTTCAATTTATCAATGCAAAGACTCATCTGATTTAATTATTTAATAAATCCCTTTGTCATATTTGCATCCTTCCTTTTCTGAATGGTGTTACATTCATTACTAAATATTTGTGAATTAAGGTGCTAATTATAGCTTAGAAAAGTTCCCTAAAATATATTCTTTGTGTCTTATTTATTAAAATTGCCCTTATTTACTACTAAATAAAAAATGGAAAAAAATTAAAATTATCATTATTTTTGTAGGCTTTAGTAGTAAAATGATAGAATTGTTACAACTCATATTTTTATGATTACTCAAAATATAGCCAGAAATGTTTTCAAAAGTAATAGTTGAGGAAAATTCAGCTATTTATACAAATTTAATGCTTTAAATTAATGCATGTTGGTATTTCAGTTGACCCAATTTTTGTGTTCTTTATCACAAATCTTAAATTTGGGTACTTTTGGGAATTTAATTTTTGTTTTAAATATTGCATTGTATCACTCTTGAATATCTGTTCTATTTGATTTTAAGGTAGTAGAAGCTTTAAAACACTTCAGACGAAATAAGCTTTTGTTTTTTTTAAGAGAAGACTTTTTAAATTATTTTCAATAATGTATGTGTGTCTCTGCGTGCATACATGTGTGCATCAGGTTCCTATGGAGATGAGGTACATTAGATCCCCACAAAACTGGGGTCCTTTCCAAGAACAGTGTGTACTCTATTTTGTTGATTGAGACAAAGTCTCTCTGTGTAACCCTGGCTGTCTTTTAACTTGCTATATAGACCAAGTTGCATAGCCTCAAACTCACAGAGGTCCCCCTGGCTTTGCCTCAAGAGTGCCGGAGATAAAGGCATGTGCTACAATACCTAGCCTCAGCTCTTAATGCTGAGCCATCTCAAGTTTTCACAGTTTTTCAATATGTACATCCGTAGACGGTCTTTTTTAACATTTGTAGAACAGTTCATTTAACAATTTTAAACTCCTGGTTGGAAAGTAAAAGCTACATGTTTGTTTTATATCTATAGTGGTTGTTTATTCTTCCCATAATAGAGACACGTTGTGGAATAGAGTTTGAAAGGTTATAGTTTTTTTCTTTAATAAGTGAAGAGTAGTTTAGAGGTGCTGTAACTGTCACAAGGCAGGAAATTAGCAGTGAACTTTCAAGCAATTGTCTTTCATTCTTTTTACATAATTTGGTGTACCACATTTATGCTCTGTCTGTAGTAATAATTAATTTTGGGAATTAAGTGCCAGTTCTTTGCTGAGCAGTTGTTCCATCTTTAGTATGCTAGACGCAGGATCTTTAGGATAAAGGTGTCATGGGTGGCAGCAAATAGTTTCTCTTAGAAATATCATTTCAAACAAATTAATTTCATATACTGTATATAATTTTAAATGTTTCCTTAAGGTAATTTGATAATACTTTTAGTGCATATTTGTTTTGACTGTGACTTCTACCTACACCTTGACGCCAGTTGTGAAATCTTCACGTTGCCATTTGAAGGCTTGATTTTCGAGTATTTTCAGTTTTGGGCTTTTAAATCTGTCTTTATAATATAGAAGTGTTCTACCTGTCCTGTGAGTTTTGGGTTGGTATTAGGCTAGAGCCTGGTTTGTAAGTCTTAGAAAATGTAAAATAGGGCTTGGCAAGATGGTTCAGTGGTTAAGACAGAGTATTGCTCCTGTAGAGGACCTGAGTTCAGTTCCCAGCACCCACACTGGACAACTCCCAACTCACTGTAGCTCTAGATCCTAGAGATAGGAAACCCTGTTCTGGTTTGCCTGAGCACCTGTATAGCACCCATACACAGGCACATTCAGTAAAACATACATGAAACGTTATTGAGAGGTTCATTGTCATACATGACATACTACACTATGTCATATCAAATTAAATATTAATTTAATTAAAATTAATATTAAAAAATTAAATTATTTAATTTGATATGACATAGTGTAGTAGACACCACTCTGACTTTAATGTTAAAACTTTGGTTATTGTTTAAAAGGCACATTTATTCCCAGGATCAGTTTGCTTACTTAGCTTGTAACCAAATGAGACTTTTTCTCCCCTGTCCTCCTGGGACACCGGATATGGGGTATCCTGTGAAGATTTTGTCTTTTTAGCCCCTCCACCTTTTAAAATCTGTATTATTATGTTTCTGCTTTGATCTATGAAGGATATGATTTCCTTACCTCATTTCTACAATTTCCTGTTTATAGAGCTACAAATAAAGTGATTTATATATTGTAAGTATAGATGCTTTTAGAAATACAAGAAGAATTTTTAAAAATACAAGAAAGTCATTCCTAGAATTAGTTTCTTGAGTTTTTTTTTTTAATAGTTTGAAATAATTTCAGTTCTTTCACCAGTATGGTCATAATATAACAGTGCTACAAACTGTAGAGCTGTTAGGAACCATGCTTTAATTTCTTTCTCTTTTTCAAATGCTTCATCGGAAAATTAGTTTTAAGGAAAATCTCATTGCCATTACCAATTAATTGTCAGTTATCAGTCAAATTTCTAAAATATCAATTTTTTAAAGAAGCAAAGTAGTTTTCAAATTAGTTTTAGGATAGTAGATAGAAAATCTCTGCCGGGCAGTGGTGGTTCACGCCTTTAATCCCAGCGTTTGGGAGGCAGAGGCAAGTGGATCTCTGTGAGCGCAAGGGCCTTTGGTTTATGAAGTTAGTTCCAGGACAGCTAGGGCTACACAGTGAAACCCTGTTTTGGGAAAAAAAAAAAAAAAAAGGAAAGAATTTACTGATAGCATTTCGATTACATTGAGAAGTTCAGATGAAGTGTCCTTTGATATAAGCATATTATCTCCTTTTTTCCTTTGATAGATTCTTTTAAAATTAAATGTAATTTTTTATGAAAAGCTATATATTTGATACCAAAGCATCCATGACATTGTTGAATAAATTATTCTTTCTCTTTATAGATGATTTACTTTTCTTTGAATTGCTTTTTTAATATTTACTCATTTCTTTGAGGAATAATTTATGATAGAACTTTCCAAATAAGGCTACTATTAAGTAGTAAACATATACACTAAGATTTGTATCCAAATTAGGAACAAAATGGTGTTCCTATTCCTAGTAATCGGTTTGCTTAGTCATGGAGAGCTAGTATTAAGGCCTTACTTAGTGTCTCTTTTTCTATATATGTAATGAGAGATGTTGAAGATTGTGTTGAATCAGATTTATAGTGAAGAATTTAAAAATACTATTTGCTATTTTTATATTTTTATTTTACAGTGTCATAAACTTAAAATCACTTTTATCACTGTAATGCACCAAACACTAGAACTTGACTAAAAGATGGTGTTATTTTAGTTACAACTATCTTATGAGATGTTCAAACATTGATTTGTACCCTTGACCTTTTACAGTAATAAGCTGTCCTTTTAGAAACTGTCTTGGTATTGTTCAGTGAGTAATATAATGCGACTTAAAAATCTTATTGTATATTGAAATTAATAGTAATTGAAAACTTTCCTTTTGAAAGACAAAGGAATAAATCTAAAATAAGTACACGTTTTGTGTAAGTTCAGATAACCTTGGTTGCTAGACATTGCAATGCTTCTATTCATCTACAACTGTTCTTTTTTTCCTGCTTTGTAAAATAATTTTTTTGGTTTAGTCTTTTTTCTAGACATTCCTATCCTTGACTTTTCTTTCCAGATTTTGTTTCCTAGCCTGTTTGCCATGTTTCCTCCCTTCTTACGTGTCAGGAAATTATCCTACCCTTCTCCATTTTGGTAAGATAACAATTTATAAAAGAAATCAAAGTAGTATATTCAATATAAGTAGGTGGTGCACATCAATCCTTTTCTTTGTAATTCTGCTAAAAGTGTACATGTTTGTTTGTCTATTCTAACCCTTTTGGTTTTCCATTTTAAAATAAATTGAAGTTCATTTTTGAAAACCTTCTGTTTTGATTATAATTTAAAATGCTCTTTTGATAATACATCTCCAAAAAATTGGCAGTCGTACAAATCAAATTTTCTCCCACAATTGGCTCTTAAAAACCTGTCCATGTCTTTCTTAGAATATACAGAAGTATAAGTGGCTGTCAGAGTGACAGATGGGATTGTAAGAGTTGATGCCTTTTTACCATTTTTACAGTGTAAATCCATTGTTAATTAATCTTAGATCACTTATAAAGGGTTAGGTATATCATAAATCCAAAATGTGCACTGTTCTGTTTTACTTGATGTCTTAAATGGAGAACCTGAGAGAGTTTTAGAATGGTAAAGTTGTCTTGGTGTTGTAACCCTAAATCACACATATGAAGGCATTTTATATGAGTATGCTGTACTTCGTAAACCTACATTTAAAAAAATTACCCTTTCTGTTTCATTTTTCTTTAATTTCTTCCATATTTTTGTTTTGTTTCTCTTCTCTACAAGTTGCTTAAATATGCATTTGAAAATCATTTCTTTGGTCAGACTGATAAGGGTTTTGCTTTTCAGAGTTTCCCCATAGGCTGTTAATGCACATTTATCAGTTTAACATATTTTTATGCCAATTATTTCTTAATATATTTATAAACAGAATGAGGTATACTTAACATTTAAAACAAACCTTTAGATTATGTAATTAATTTTCTACTAATGTTGCTTATCTCTTCCCATGGTTTGTTATATTTTATAATTAAAATTATCAAAAGACCAGAAAATTAAACTGATTGAAAGAATTATGGCATCTGCTTTGATGTATTTGTCCAAGGTAGAACACACAAAGTAATCCATAAAAAAAGTAGTCAGCCAGTACTTTCAGTTATACAGTGCACGTTTCCAAAGTGATGACTCTGTTTACTTTGTATTCTCCATGTCCTAAATGAAATTTCTGTAAGTTACTTTGGAAATAAAGTTTGATGAATTAAACTTTTGAGTTTGACAGTGATTAGTATGTTTACTTTAGGTGTTTTATAAAGAAATAACATATCATTGAATTTGGACATGTAAGTGTCTGATAAGTTTTACACTGGAAGACTGGGATATTTTGGCTATGGTTGATATTCCTAGTGTCTTATTTGAGCTACTGGAAATTAGACTGACTTGAACAGTATCAGGAATTTACAAAAGAGTTAGTGCCATGTGTTGACATCTGAACTTCAGAGTAATAACAACTAAAGTTTAAGGTTTTCTGGCTACTTTCTAGAACATTCCAGGCAGTGCCTTCCATTGTTGGGAGGGTATGTATTACCATATATGTCTTACATGCCCTTCAACCGAAATTATTTGGTCAACTAGGTTTTGATTGATGGCAGAGAAACACATTAGTGATCTATGTAGCATTTATACTTAATATCTTATTTGCCTTAGATTTAAAACTAACTGATGATTCTTATGTCTAAGTTTTGAGTCCTGACTATAGCATCCGTATATGTCCATATAATAATCTTCAGTTTACATTGAGAAAGCAACATAGAAAGCAACAGGCACAGTTAGATACAATTTAGTCCTTCAAATTTGTTATTAGTTCATAGTGTGAAGTTTAAAATGTTGAACATGTAAAATTTCTCTAAGTTGTAATTAACTGAGAATTTAAATAGATTTTTAAAATGTGAGAACCTTGGATGACAGTTTTTTTAGTCTACTGCAGTTAATGGCACAGAATTCTTCCTGTAAGAACATTTTGCTGAACTTGACTATTGGAAACAGTTCTTACATAGTTAATAAGGTCTTACTATGTATATGTAGAAAGGTTGCTTTTTTTTTTTTTAAGAGCATGGGTGTTATTTTCCAAATGCATATATAAAGCACTGATCAATTTGTGAGCTTTTCTACTTAGTGATGACTTTTAATTCATAGTGTAAGAAACCAGAAATAACTATTTTTGCCTTTTAGAAGGAACAACTCTCTTAGTTGGTGATACTTATTTTTATTCTGTAGATACTGTAAATTTTGATGACATAGCTTCCTCAGAGAACTTGTTACATCTCACTGCAAATAGACCCAAGATGCCTGGAAGAAGGTTGCCTGGCCGCTTTAATGGTGGACATTCTGTGAGTTTCCCTTACTTTAAGAAAACATAATAGATTAAGAACGTGCTAAGTCCTCTTTTAGATGAGAATGAGAGGGTTTATAGCCATATCAAATTTAAGAAGTCTGGGAGAGAGCTTTATGATTGTTTATTTAAGGAAATAACAAGGAAAGAGATATGTTCAGTTCTATACGGTCTTGATTGAAAGATTGCAGAATCAGAAAATAAAGTTGTGTTGAGACTACTGTCGGGGAGCATGGCCAGCGGGGAGCAGGGCCTGTGTTCTTCAGTCAGCACAGCAGGGTCATTGAGGAGAACTGAGCAGCAGATCCAGACTCCAGGGAAGGAGGTACTTTCCCCACCACTTGGGAAGTCCTCCTCTTGTTGTATTTATTCTCATAGTTAAGTAACTTCTTTTTGGGCTTTCTATGTGTTGCTTGGAGTGCAAATCTACTTCAATGTTATTATATTAATCCATCAGCATTGTGTTGCTTTAAAATTACCTCAGTGGAAAAAGGTTTTGCTTGTATAAGGAAAGCTAGTTTTGCACTTCACATATGTAAAAGTGCTGTTCAGTCTGAAGTTCAGACTGCACACATCTGTGAGCAGTGGAAACTGCCGCAGCAATGTTGGCTGTATTGTGCACATGCTTACTAGAGTTTCCTTTTAATAAACTATGTTTCTGGATTTTTTTAATGCTAAACATGTAGCCAACTCAAAGCCCAGAGAAAACCTTGAAGTTATCAAAAGAAGAAGACAGTGGCAACCTAAAGTTGTTGGAGCTTAAGAAGGATACGAGCTACTTGTCAAAGGTAAACCCACCATGGTCTAAGAATTGGTTTTTTTTTTTTTTTTTTTTTTTTTGGTTTTTTACGAGACAGAGTTTCTCTGCATTGTTTTGGAGGCTGTCGGTCCAGCCTGGCCTTGAACTCACAGAGATCCGCCTGCCTCAAGAATTGTTTAATTTTTAAGACGTGTTGTAGCCATCAATCAGAGAAGTGTCCTTTTAGAAAGATTACTTTCTTCTGTTAAAAAATAAAGTTATTATTGCTTTAGTCACATCAGCTCTTTCAATAATAGAAGCACTTACCTTATTTTAAAGAATGTGCTTAATGTTTCATATTTCCAAGGCATAGGTCTGTACATTGTTTCATTATCTTATTGAACATACACTTTGGAATTAGTTCACAAAAAATAATTTGGGGGGTGGGGCCTGTTTTGTTTGTTTTGAGATAGGGTCTCTCTCTGTGGCCCTGACTGGTCTGTACCTTGGTTGATCCTCCTACCTCAACCTCCATAGACATGTATAACCATGCTCAACTCCCATAAAACTTCAGCCTAATTACTTTTGAGGGTGAGCAGGTTGGAAATCATGATTTGTTCACTCGTTCTTTAGTTTGCTTCTTGGCCCTCTCTTTAGCATTCTGTATGTACTGGAATTAGTGGCAGAATAGGCGAATAGTCTCTTACATGGTGATGTTTCTTTCCTAAAGTTAATCATTTTTATTAAGGACAATTTATACATATACTTAAGGATAATGATTCCTTATTTTCATTCTAGAATATTTGGCCACTTTTTGAATTTATCAAGTCATTTAATCTGATCCTCTATATTATCATCAGTCTCTTGACACCTTTCTAAAAGAACTGATTTTAGAGAAATCCTCAAGTGGTCTGTGGGCTTAATTCTTCATAATTACTTTTCAGTGAGGCTTTGGATATTTGTGACAATAAAGATGGAAACAACACCTTGATGTTTGATGTAGTTTTACTTGTAGATGCCCTACTGGGCAAACTATTCACTAGATAAGCCAGTGGGTATCTCCTTCCTTAAATCAAATAAAACCAGATTATTTTTATTTTCCCCTCCCCCAGCAAAGAATACCAAACTGCTTTTGGAATTTCAGAGTTTTACTATTTATCTTTTTTTAAAAATGTTTTTATTCTTCAAGAATTTCATGCAGTATATTTTTTCATATTCTTGTTCTTCCTCCAACTCTTTTCAGACACACACACACACACACACACACACACACACACACAGACACACATACACACCTCTCTTCCTTCCCACCCAACCCACAAGAAAACAAGGAATCTAATTTGTATTGACCAACTACCCCTGAGCATGGGGCCTGTCCTGGAGTGTGGTCAGTATACACTTCACTCCATTGAAGGAAACTGATTTTCTCTACTACCAGCTGTTAATTGATGCAGCTTCTTTGCCAAAGGTAAGGCTATGTGTCTACTTCCACTTCTCTGAGCTGGAAGTCTGTCTGGCTTGAGCTTATGCAGGTCCTGTGCTTGCTATCCAGTCTCTATGAGTTCATGTGTGCACCTGCCCTGCTGTGTCTTTTGAGGTCACCCACCACCCCTGGTCCTTATCATCTTTTTACCTCCTGGTGCTTCGATCACTGAACCTTAGAGAAGGCATAGACATCCCATTTAGGACTGAGTACTCCAAAGTCCCCTTTTCTCTGCACATTGTCCAGTTGTGGGTCTCTGTCTTAATTATCATTTACTACAAGAAGCTTGTCTAATCTGAAGTTCTGGTTGGAATTCAGTTCAGGCTATAAGCAGTCTACATCCAGTGCAGTGAGTCCCATTTATCTCGAAGCATAGCTGAATATCCTTTTCCTAAAATGCTTGAAGTTAGAATTCTGGAAAATTTTCACACACGTAATTATATATTTTTGGACTGGGATTCAAGACTAAACATAAACATAAAATTCATTTGTTTCATGTAATTCATTACCCAAATTTAAGTGTGCCTGCAGTTTGAAACAGTCTGATGTAGAATTTTTAAGGTTAGGGATTTACAAATTAGGAATACTTAATATGTAGTCAGTAATTGTATTCTTGTTGTAAAAATATTGTGACATGGGAATGTAACTCAGAGTGCTAGCCTAGCATGCCCAAAGCCCTGGGTTTAATCCCTAGTACTGTATAAACTGTAATCTCAGTACTTGGGAGGTGGGGAGCAGGAAGATTAGAGGTTTAATATATGAGGATCTGGAGTTACAAGCCAGCCTGGACTACATGTGGACCTGTGTTAAAAATGAAAACCAGAAGGAAGCATAATTTCTGAATTTAAATACATATTAAATATAAACACAAACATAATGAGAAAAAATTTTTGTTTTTCAGCCATCTCTCTCAACACCTTCAAGTGCTTCTAAAGTAAATACATCTGCTTTCCTAACTCCATTAGAACTCAAAGCTAAAGCAGAAGCAGATGATGTGAAAAACAGTTCCCTGGATGAACTTAGAGCCCAGATTGTTGAATTGCTGTGTATTGTGGATGCATTGAGAAAGGATCATGGGTAAGTAACTCTTACTTTTTCCTAAGCCTGCCCCCAACATATGCAAAGACTTCTTTTAGGTGATGTCAGCGGAAGCCCCAATCTCCTGAGTATACAAGTGCACATGTTTTCAAAGACATTTGTATTGTAGCACTTTCAGCAAAAACCTTGATTGGAAACTTGTTGCAGTGGCTCAATTCTAGAAGATCTGTATGTACCTATGTGCCTAGGAAGGAGCTGGCTGGGCACCGGTGTCATTAAGTCTTGAAAATCATGAGAAAACCGCATTGGTGTTTTGGATAGGATCCATATCCTCATACTTATCTCCTAGAGGAAGTTAACCCCTATTTCTGCCAGGCTTACATTACATGGTTACAAAATGAACGGGTTCCAACCCACAAGAGATCTCTAAAGCCCTCCTGTTAACTCTGAAAGTATTTGTTGTTGTCTGTGTAGTGTAGAGCTAGTGCATTTTCCTACGATTGACCTATGTCCACAGCCTTGAAAGTTTTTGATATGGTATATAGTAGTACATAACTAACTAAAAGTTTTAGATGTAAAAGAAGTTCAAAAGATCCCTATTGTAGATCTCTTCCCCCCCCCCCAATGAGGAAATCAGGATGTAGAAGTAAAGCTACTACCTAATCTTACCTAATAATTGCACAGTTCTTCAGTGGCAGAGCTAACACTCAACCCTGTTTCTTATTGGTTTACAGATCTATTGATATTTTAGTGATAATCTTTCAAATTCCATGGATAAATCAGATGAAAGATCAGCTAATGTAATTAAATAGGATGAGCATGCTTATCCCATCTGTATATGTTCCTCCCCCAAAGGATTTCTTAGAATAGGATATAAAATTTCATGCTTAGACCCTGAGTTTCACTATTTCTCTCTTAATATGCACTGGTTCTAGAATTCTCTATGAAGAGTAGTATTAACAGTATAAAGTAGGACCTGGTATTGTGATAGATGCCTTTAATCCCAACACTCTGGAGGCAGATGTAGGGAAAATCTCTTGAGTTCAAGGCCACCTTAATTTACACAGTGAGCAGGTTAGTCCACGGCTGTGTAGACTCTACATCAAATAACAAAATAAAAATAAACAATAGCAGATATGGACAAAAATTTTATTTAGGGTAAGTACTGAAATATATTATCTATTGAATATATTGTGATTATAGAATTTATCATTTGATATGCCAGGTCTTCCTTTAGTCTTTTGGTTGATCTAATTTGAAAAAAAAATTCTGTACTACACATGTTAGAAACTATGTGCTCATTCTTCTCTAAATGTTGAATACCTCCCACCATTTATAAAATTCTCCTGATTTGTAAGTTTTGTTGTTTTACACATTGGATACCAAGTGTGCTCCTTTGAGACATTATACCACATAGCCCTATCTGGCCTTGTACTCAGTTTATTGTGACCTTCTACTCTTGATCCTCCTGTCTCCTTGTCCCAAGTGCTAGAATTACAGGTGTGTGCCACCACACCTAGCCCAGGTTTAGGATTTTTAATGAAGTAGTGCTTGCATACATAAATTGCCTGTAGGGTCTCTTTTTAAGTTATCTGTAGAATGAGTACAATAGTTTTGATTTATTGTATACAATTACATATTTTAGAAATCCTCCAAAGATTGTTTTCAACATATCAAATTTCTCTGGAAAGATGAAGGTAGATGATAGGGATTTTGTTTTGTTAAATCTAAAATCAGAGAGCAGCAGCAAAAGAATGGGTAAATGATATATATTGGTATGCTAATTGAGAAATGTACAGTGTATAAATAATGATGAATGATTGTGGCTACATAAATCATCAGTCAGTCCATGAAATGGAAGGTGGGAACAAATCAGAAATATATATACAGTGTTACTTCTTGTATGTAAATTCAAACACTATGAAACCAGGATAAAATAATATTGTCTTAAGATATGTTTGGGGCTAGTGAGATGACTCTAAATAAGTGTGATGTCTGAGACCTACTTGGTGGAAGGAGAGAACTGACTCCACATCCACACTGCTGTTACCTTATGCTTTCTGTGGGGAAGTGGGGAGTGTCTCAGGGTTTCTGTCGCTGTGAGGAGACACCAAGACCACGATAACGCTTGTAAAGAAAACATTTAATTGAGGGGGCTTGCTCACAGTTCCGAGGTTCAGTCCATCATGGTGGCATGCTGGTGATGGAGCCAAGAGTCCTACATCTTAACTCAGGCAACAGGAAGTGCACTGACTGTCACACTGAGACTGCCCCCACAGTGACACACTTCCAACAGCAGATATGACTTTGATTAAAGGTGTGCCCTCCAGCCTCTAGGTCTGGATTAAAGGCATGTGTCATCCAGCCTTCTCCAGCAAGACCATATTTCCTCCAACAAGGCCACACCTCCTAATAGTGCCACTTCCTGTGAGCTTATGGGGGCCAAATATGTTCAAACTACCACAGGAAGAGGGAGAGAGGACGAGAGAACGTTGAGTGTGCAGCATTTGTAATTATAGATGGTTGTGAGCCACCATATGGGGTCTGGGAATTGAACACCCACTTCTTTATTTTATATGTGTATTGTGTATTGTGTGTGTGTGTGTGTGTGTGAGTGTGTGAGTGTGTGTGTGTGTAATTACTTTGACCATGTCTACCTCTTACTACCCCTTTCTAAGTCATCACTTTTCATGCTCTTCTCTCAGTTACATGTCCTCTTCTTTACTTGCTTTTAATAACCACTGGGTTCAACTGCACAGAGGCGAAGAGGTCGTCCACTGGAGCATATGCAAGCTATCAGGGGCAAAACCCTGAAGAAACTGATTTTTCTCTCAGCAGCCACGAAGCTCATGAGCTTCTTCCTCGGTGAGGCTAGAATGTTAACTGACATAGACAAACCCTTGCTTTCTGTGGTGACATGGCCCCCACCATGTTATCCTCAAGTTCTTGAGGACCTTGAATTTTTGAACTTCCCATTACACCCCCCCCTTGCTCCCAGCTACATCTGAGATAAAAATGCCAGGCCCGGGTTTTTATGCCTTCTATTAGAATTTTTCTCAATAGATCTTGTAATTTTTTTTTCAATTTATTTTTGTTTTATGTTTTTTTTTTTTTTTTTTTTTTGCCTGTATGTATGTCTGTGTATTGCTTGTGTCTGGTGCTTGTGGAAACTAAAAGAGGGTATTGGATCCCCTGAGACAGGAGCTGCAAACAGTTTCGAGCCACCATGTTGGTGCTGGTAACTACAATCCCCTGGAAGAGCAGTCAGTGCTCTTAATACCCCTCCAGCTCCTTTTGTCAGAATTTTAAAGCCATTTATCTGTGTTGCTTTTTAGGAGAATTTATCTAGGAAATATTAAAAGACAGAAATCTATACATGTCAGTTTAGAAATTTCCTATACTAACTTAGTGATGTTATTGCTATGTGAATTTCCCTTTCTTATTTTTCTATGACCCCAGGAAAACTAACCAATAAAACACTAGATATTTGAATATCAAATATCAGTTTAAAATGAAAAAACTGAGTTACTACCCTCTGCCTAATTTGAGTCAGCTTATGCCATGACCTCTGGGTGGATTTTTACTAGCTAAATAAAGTACTTACACTATTTTTTAAAAGAAAGAAAAATAAAAGTAAAATTTAACAGCTTGGGTACATTTTAAAAATTTCTGAAAAAAATATAAAACAAATAGTTACAGAATTACTGTGTAGACATGACCCAAAATATATACTTAACGAATGACTATGTAGATTAGAAGGAATTGAGAGTAATAACATGAGTTAAAGATTATAGATTATTGGCTAGAATATTTTGATTTAGGAATTTAATGTAACATTTAATTGAAAACAATAGAGAGTAACTTGAAGTCCAATTATCTTACCAGATTTGCCTTGTAAATAACCTGGTGATAGTCACCTTGGCATTTGTTTTGAGTATTGGAGTGTCCAGCCTGCAACATGTGTGTTAGGTGATTATGGAGAACTGCTTTTAAAACCATATGTTGTTTCTCTGCTTGTCTTTAGCAGCTTTGAATTTGTCTGTCTGTCTATCATCTATCTATCCATCTATCAATTTATCATCTGTCTGTCTACCCTTTTTTTTAAAGAAAAGTTTCTTTGTGTAGCCTTGGCTATCTTAGAACCTGTGCTGTAGACTGGTATTCAGGCTGACCCCAAATTCAGAGATCTGTCTACTTCTGCTTCCCTAGTGCTGGGGTTAAAGATGTGTACCACCACTACCTGGCTTAATTTCTTTATCTTCGATACATTTGTCACTCTTTTGGTGATTTTTTTCCTAATTTAACTTTCTATTGATTCTGTGTGCTCTTCACATGCATCTCAATCACACTCATCTCCCCACCCTTCACATCTGCCCTCTACCCTTGCAATACTCCTCTCCCCCATGCAAGATAAAACAAAATAAAATTTGAAAGAAAAGAAAAATCTCTTTGTGGAAAATGTAGTGTGTCCTGTTAAGTCACACAGTGTTTACCCTTGAGTCCATTCATCTTTACTTGCAAGTGTTTATTGCAATGAATGAGTCATTGGTCTGGTTCGAGGCCTCTGGTTTCTGCCATGTGGGTACTGGAAACTAAACCCAGGTCTTCTGTAAATGCAAGGACTCTTAATCACTAAGGTATTTCTCAGCCCCACCCCCCAACTTTAGCTCTTTTATGTCCCACCCCTCCCCACCCCCACACACCCAGAAACCTCTATAATAGTAAGTTTTATATGACTTTTTTAAAATCTTTTTTTAATTTGAATTAGGAACAAGCTTGCTTCATATGTCAATCACAGCTCCCTTTGCAACCTCCCATCAGCCCCCCTAGCCCCCCACCCAATCCCCACTCTGCTCCCCAGGGAGGGTGAAGCCCTCCATGGGGGATCTCCAGAGTCTGTCATTTCATCCTGGACAGGGCCTAGGCCCTCTGCCATGTGTCCAGACTGAGAGAGCCTCCCTCGATGTGGAATGGGCTCCCAAACTCCATTTGTATGTCAGGGATAAATACTGATCTACTACCCAAGATCCCATAGATTGCCAAGGCCGCCTCACTTATATGACTTTTTAAATGGTCTTTAGTGTTGTTTATATGGGGAGGGAAAAAGTAATGCCAAAGACATTTATTTTTATTATTGTGTACATTTCTGTGTGCGGTTATGTGCATGTGAGTGTATTTCCTACAAAGTCCAGAGGAGGATATCAGGGTCTTCTGGAGCTGAAGTTATAAGTGGTTGTAAGCCACCTCATGTCAGTGCTTGAACTCAGATCCTCTGGAAGAACAGAAAGTGCTGTTTTTGTTTGTTTGATTTTCATCTTACATGGAATTACTCAAACTAAAGAATTTGAGAATTTCTAAATGAACATGGTCATTGTTCTTAGGAACTTATTCATTGGGTGCTTTGTGTGTGTGTGTGTGTGTGTGTGTGTGTGTGTGTGTGTGTGTGTGTGTAAAAGTTCCAGTTAACATCAGTGAATAGATTGTTTAACTGTAAAACTGAACAGTAAACTTTGCCTTTAGGAAAGAACTGGATAAGCTACGCAAAGAATTAGAAGAAGAGAAAGTCATGCGAAGTAATCTAGAGGTAATGCATTTCTGCTTTTAGAAAATGTGAGGTTTTGCTTTTTTCCATTTCTCCTCAGTATGGTTGGCTCTGCTACAAATTATCCTCTCCTACCTCAAGTGAACACTGTACAATTTCTTAGTAGCAATTTGCTAAGTTTCTTATTGACTCTCTAACATTTTTTTATTCATGCTATTTTCTTTCTGTTTTGAAAACCACACATGAAGAAAAGTTCAGGTGCCAGGCTTTAGTCCCAGCCAGTAGTTGTTACAAGTAACAATTCAGGACAGTGTGTGAAGCACCTGGTATCCAAGGGTCTGGGTAAATAAATAAATACTGTTTTCCCAGCGCCCCCTCCCCCCCTTGAAGGCAAGCGCTTTGTGGCACTCACTTGCATTTGCCACTGGAGAGGTTGCGTTATTCTGGGGGTAGCTGGAAGTTACACTTAGTTTCTTTAACTTTCCTCCTTGTCTTTCTCTTCCCTTGTGTTCTGCCTTCTCTTCTTGGTCACTGCCACACCACCCCTCTTCTACCTTGCTTCATTACTTACCTTCATTGTCTTGTCAGAGAATCAGAAAGTGTGTTTTCTAAATTCCTAACTGAAAAGGGCTGATTCTCATCTCCATATCCAGTGGGTTTCGATATTGCTGGAACCTGCAAGGAGCTGTGAGGATTACTGATCATACTACAAAGGTGAAGCAGGGTTTAGAATGATGGTATAGCAGTGAACACAGCTAGAGGCATGCTCTTCATTGTTTGCCCTATGGCAATCCTTATCCTCTGTTGCTGGGATCAGTGTATGTTGTCTTGAAGGTACTTTGTCAGTTATTACAACTCCATTGATATCTGATAGGTCTGCCTTTGGCACCTTTGTTTCATTATATGAAAATACTCATTTCTCCTGCACTGTTTTATTTAAAGACAAAGCCTTTCTTCATCATCCAGCTTCCCCCTCCCCTTCATCTGTTGTAGTTTTTTTTTTTTTATTTGGGGTTCATTTGCCACAAGATAGAAATAGCTCTCACTCTGCTTGCTAAAAATGTCCTACATTTTCTACCTCAGATTCTTTCCCTTGAAATCAGTATATTCCCCCCTGTAAAGTGAAGCCTTCCTGCTAGACTGATTCCAGAGCCGTATCAGTCCCAAATAAACACACAGGACATTGTATTAATTATGAAGCTGTTGGCCTTGCTTTTTCTTACTGGCGAGCTCTGACTTAAGTATTTATCCCATAATTGTTAATCTAAGTATTTCTCTTACCGGAGCCAAGTGTCTGGACTTCTTATCCCTGTGGCAGCTACATCTTGACTCCCTGTGTTTCTCCTTCCCAGAGTCTTCCTGGACTCCTAGTCCCACCTAATTTGCTTCCCTATTGGCCAACAGTGCTTTATTGACATATACACCGGACTTCCCCAACACCCCCCATCCACCCCCCCCACCCCCTGTTTGATTTCCTGAGGCAGGCTTGCCTTAAACCCACAGCAGCATACCTGCCCATGACCTCCCAAGTACTGTGAATACAAACATGGGATACCACATCCAGCCGCAACCCTGTGCATTTTAGGTTATACTTGCTGATTCCAGATCTGGGTCTATTCAGCTTCAGAGCACGTCACAGTCTTACCATTACCACCTTCTAGAAGGATTTTAGGTTCAGTGCCCCTGTATCCTTCCTGCTTTCTCTTTCCTTTTCCTTTCAAGAGGTTTTTCCTTTCATTGTGTTTGTGTGTAAGGGGTGAACGTGCGTGTCTGGTTTTCTTCCAATACTTAACTTCAAATGCTTGTATCACTTAGCATTGTTGTTACTTTTTTCTTATTCCTTGCTAGTTTGGAATTTACATAACTATGTTTTCTGCTGCAACTCTTATTCAACAGTATTATTTTTTGCCCTCTGGTGAATTAGATTTTGACATTAAAATCAGAATTCCGAGGCTGGAAAGTGTGGGCATGTGGTACAGATAGGCTAATTTAGACTGTACTAAAGGTATTTTATGTTGTACAATTTATGCTTTGTTTTTAGGCGGAAATTGCAAAGCTGAAGAAAGCTGTTCTGTCTTCTTGAGGTGGTATGGACCCAGTGTTCTTAATGCTCCCAGGATTTAGGAGCAACACTATGAACTTAACTGACTTGTTAAGACAACAAATGTGATGTTGTGATGAAGAAATGAGAGGACATGAACTGTGGTATCTATTGAAAAGTTGGGGGGTGACAAGTTTTTTTATATATTTTGTTTTGCCAATATGAAAAAAAGAGGCCTTATTTCTTACTGTGCTGGGATAGCAAACATTTCTGTTGTTTGCTTGAAAATACTACTGAATCTGTATAAAAGGAATGAAAGTTCACCATAGTTTTTTTATTGAGACTTGTATTATTTTTAAAGAGTTCTATACTATAAATATCGTACTATCTTTACAAATAAGCTGTAAGATAAACTATTTGAGATGGACGGGTTAGCTTTATAGTAACTAGAGTCACTGCTTTCCTGTAATATATAAGGACATAAACTTGTATACATACACTACATACACCACACACGCACACACACACATACCTTTAGCTTCTTACCCAGGGTTACACTGTTGTGCCTGTTTGTCTGCAGTGCTGTTTGTATACTGGGTGATAAAATAGGGATTCCTAGTTACCAGGTTCCTCACCCATGCATAATTAACCATTAATGAAATAATGCAAGTAAATTAAACTTCTAGAGTGTTCTATAATGCTCATACTGTAGGATTCATTAAAGGAAGTTAGTTAAAATATACTGGATTAAGCTTTGGGAAAATAGGAGCTTTGTTCTCAATTCATATGGCCTAAGGAATCAAAAAATGTCGTGCTAGTTCTTATTTGTGCCTAGACACTGCAGCACATGCGGAATATGTAAGCACCAGCCTTATTGCTGTTTGTTATGCTCATTCTACAGTTGTAAATATTACTCATTTCATTATCTTATATTTAGCTCATTATATCCCGCCCTTATTTTCCTAATGGGTATCTTAGGAAGCAAAGCCTCTAAACCCAGATCTTTTGAAAATTTCAGAATGAGGGTCCCTATTGGAAAGCTATCATGTAAAGACTCAGGCTTTACAGACATAATTTATCTAATAAAACAAATGAATTCCTAGAGATATTTTGTACTGTTACTTATGCAAACTGTTAAAAGAGTGTTAGTATTTCACAAGTAATAACATTATAGTTTATATAATTGACCACACTGAAGATCATTTCAGAATGGATGCTTAGCCATTCTTCAGCATCACAAATCAGCAGTTAAACATCTTCAGCCAGATCAACTACATTCAAGGTAATATGACTCAGACCAGGCAAACATTTAAAAATACTGTATCTGTAGGGCCACATGTCTAAAAACAAAGAGGTTACTTTTAAAATGGGAAATGCTTTATTTGTTAAAAATCAAAAGTTAGTTTTTAAGGTTTACTTTAGTAAATGAATGAAGGTATCATGCTTCTTTAAAAAAAAAACAAACCAATACTTTTTCTTTACATTTTAATCTTAAAATAGAAAAGTTTTTTTTAATGAGATTTCTTGTGTTGCTTCAAATAAAAGTAGAAAATAATAGAATTGCCAGACTAAAATTACACTTGATTAACTTCTGGGAATGGCATTAATTGTACATCAGTGTTCATTTTAGTGTTTTTGGTTGTTTGATAAAGGGTCTTAAATATCCGGGACAAGACTGGACCTTGTTATGTAGCAAAGATGATTTGAAATTTCTGATCCCTCTGCCTCTGTCTCCCAAGTGGTAGATGACAGACTTGCCATTCTGCTTACCTGTTTTAACCATTTCAAGCCTAAGCTCACCTGTGAGGAGTTACTATTGAACAAAATTGTTTCATTTTATCTTTAAGTGAGTAGTCAAATGAATTACTTTGTTTCTTGTTAATAAATTAGCTCTTTATGACAGTCTTGAGATGAAAGTAAGCCATTTCACCCTAGAGATCATCCCCGTGGAGATTTGTGTCCACCCACATTGCTGGGTGGGAAAGGCTCCAACAGCTCAAGCTGTGCTGTTTTCCCACTGAAGATTACTTTAATAGAAAAGTAACATTCAACAGTAGGCAAGTGGCTAGTGTATGCTTTCTGGACAAATATGTACCTTATAGATGCTAATTAAAATGTAAAAATGTGATATAATTCTAATAGAAGAACAGATAAGAGAAAACAGACTATATGTGATACAAACATGAGTAAGGAAAATAGATGCACAACCCCTTATTGTAAGCCAAATTCTCATGAAAAATTTGGTTTCTTTCTGAACTATTGTGTATCATTCATCTGCTTGGTAATCTTGGCCCTGGCAACATATATTTTAATACTTGTAAGCTATTGAAAAGGATTATTGGAGTCAAGTATGGTGACAGCATGCCTGTGACTTGGAGACTGAAGAAGGAAAATCATGAGTGTGAGGTCAGCCTATATATATGCTGCGTAGGGACCCTGTGTCCACAAGAAAAGGTGGCTGTGGTGGTGGTGGGTGTTTTGCACTTGTCCTACAGTCAGAATGGCAGTGGGTGCTGCAATACATACATGCTTTTGCCTTCTCAGGCAGAATGGAGAAGTCATACTGGCCTTTTTTTCCTTCTGTCTGTTTTTCTGCCTTTAATGAAAGAATTCAGAAAAACGAGCAAGCTTGAGCTTATTTAAAGGGAAAAATGATTCTTTTAAAATAGTAATTTGCCAGTATTTCCCCTTGTATGGGAACTTTTACTATTCCTAAAGTTAATGTCACAAAATGATAGTAACAATAATTTCTATTTTGAGGTAAATCCTCCCCACATATGAGTATAAAAGACAGCATTGAATCTGTCATTGCCAAATTGCTAGTGAATGTATAGTTCAGTCTTGCTGTTCTTGAAACACAATACTACTAATTTTTTAATGGAATTTCAATGTTATTTTGGTGTCTTTGTGACCACTAAGCTGATTTCTTACTATAAAGCTGATACCTCTATGTAACTGTGCAGGACTTCACTGAAAAGTCTGAAGATGCCGAGAGAGAGTGGACCTGGTTTTAACAGAGAACTTTTTTTTTTTAAACAAAACAAAACAAAACACTCCTTACTGTGATCACAGACAAGAGAAACTTTTCAAGTAATCTGTAGATTTTTCTATGAATGTTGTATGGTTGCATTTAAACTTGAAATGTATGAACAGAATGAGACAATCCTTACAATCAGAATTGAGAAGTGTTACAGTTGAATGGCCTTGTGCTGTAGCAATAAAATGACCAAGTGCAATGACTTTAATAAAATCATCTTTCAAAAGTTGCTGCTATGAATATTTTAGTTGTATAATTCTATCATGTGTAGCCTACTTTGCCTTCAGTAGCTATTAATGTGATGCAGTTGATGTTTTGACAGTCTAACATTCCAACCCCCCCATATATACACACACAGGTGTGTGTATATATATATGTGTGTGTGTGTATATATATGTGTGTGTGTGTATGGAATCTCAGAATAATATACTCATTTTTTATAGGTGCTGTTAAAAAGAAATGAAAGAAAGCATGCTTTTCCCTCAAAAGGAAAAATTAATAATAAAAATAATTGTATTGCTACTTGTGTCTGTCTTTATTAGTTATTGTTTATCTTAGTTAACTTTTCAGTTAACTTTTCTCTTGTGATTAAGCACCATGACCAAGGCTTCTTGTGAGTGGCAGCATTTGACTCATGGTTTCAGAGAGTAGAGTCCATGAAGACAAAGTCATGGCATAGGAACATCTGTGCTCACATGATGACCCACAGCAGAAGGCTGAGAGAGACACACACCACAAATCCTCAAAGCCCACCCTCAGTGACACATCTTCCAACGAAGCCCCATCTCCCAGCCCTTCCCAAAACAGTCCAGTAGTTGGGAACCACATGTTCAAATATGAGCCTATGGGGGACAATCTTATTCAAACCACCATGTAGTTCATCATGTGCTGTTTTTAAGAATGATGCGATTTATTTGTATTACTTTGAATTTAAAAAAATGCCAAAGTTATGGCATTGCAAGTTCTGGCTGGCTGGATTTTAATAAACCATTCTGAGTAGCTGTTTCACTTCAACTTAGATAGTTTCTACCTCACAGGATAGGAAAATTCGAGGTTGTGTGAAGTACCTTGTGGAGTTCTTGGTGCAGAGATGGGTCCCATCTCCCTCATCAGAAGCGTTTTATTCAGTGTTGGTATAATGCAGATGAGCTAAAATGGGAAGACTTCTTCTTCTGGTTTGGAATACAGTATTCCTTTCTGGGGGTGGGGGTGGGGGCTGGCTAATATTTGAGGATAGCTGCCCTCTTCAGAGAATACTTAAATCGATGCCAGTTTTTCCCAGGCTGGGATTTTACAGACTGGGAATGAGAACTGTCATTGTGAGAGCTCTCTGCCTGTATTCTTCTGCCTTCAGACAGAATTGAGTTACGAGGAAGATCTAGGATTGCCATTCACAAAGGTCACTCTTGAGCCTTCGGTTGCACACCTCATAACCTTATTGATTTCTTAATTTCCAAAGTCCAGATGGTACAAAAGTGGACAGTAAGTCACTTAGTGGTAGATTACTTGCCAAGTATTTACATAATCTTGGTTTTTTGGCAAAAAGCAACACCCCCCCCCAACCCACATGCCCTGGCTGAAAATGAGCCTCTAAGGTTGCCTTAAATGTTTTCTGGAAGACTGAGAAATAGATGTGCTACATCGTCTAAGTTAGAAATGAGTCATCTTAGTTTAAAATTTTCAAGTTGTTTTGTCTTTTTGCTCTTGGACTGAGGATTGAAACTCAAGGCTTCACATGTTAGGCAAGTAATGTTCCACTGATATCTTAAAACAGTCTTTTTAAAAATGCTTTATTTTTATTATGTGTGTGCCTGTATAGGTATGAATTATGTAGTGTAGTGACCAGTCCCCCATTTTAGCAGCCATTACAGGCTAACATGTGCTTGCATGACCTTGCCGCTCATGTCCTGGTCACTAAGGTCAGATGCCCTCCTCGTGGCAAGGAACCAATCAGAAGTTAGCTGGCAGGGCTGTGTTTTATGGCTCTGGGTGTGCTTTACGGACTGCACAACAGTAACATGCAGAACATAGCAACCGCCCTGGGAGGGCCTATGGGTCATAATAACCAGTTGACCAATCAACACAGGGCAGGTCACCCATACCTGGAAGCGCTCCAATCCTGAGACTGTCTATACCCCTAGATACTCCCCTTACACTGCCCTTTAAGATCCCTGCCTCGAGGTTGCTTGGGGTCTTTCTCCAGCCATTTGCCATGGTGGCAGAGTGAAGGGCCCGAGCTAATGGGGTTAGCTCATTAAACATCTACAATAAAAGACTCTTTACTTTTGCATCGAAATGGGCCTCTTGGTGATTTTGGGGTTCAGGATTTGGGCACAACAGTAGCTTCTCACAGAAGCCATAAGAGAACATTCAGTCTCCCTGAATGTATTGGGAGTTATGAGTTGGCTGGTGGAAACCACTGTAAACACTTGATTGCTGAACCATCTCTCTGTCTTCAACCCAAAACCTTTCAGTCAGAATCACAGGTGGGCCTTTAGTTTGAAACCTTCCAGCTTATCCAAGTGCTGGGATTACAGGATATGATTCTCATTGCTTTCTTGGATCTGCATAAATACAGGGCAAAACTTAGTTTTATAGACAAATGCTGAGCAAGATTTGAGTCATGTAATCTATTGTCTAACTCAATTATGCTTTTGTCTGAAGATAGAATTACTAGATCCAGTTTTAGGAAAAAAGCAGACACCGGCTTAATTGGACTTTTTAGGCTCTATGACCTTGCATTCTAGACTCGAGATAATGGCTACACCCTCACATCTTTACTTCTGGCATTAATATTCTATTACTTGAATAGCACAATGAATTTACTTGGCTTATATATAGAAAGTAAGCTTATAAATAGGAAATAGCAGTTTCATCTTTTTTTATTGCAGTTTTTTAGAAAAGAGCTTGCTTCACATGTGAATCCCAGCTCCCTCTCCCTGCCTCCCGCATCTCCCTCCCCCATGATTCCCCCCAGCCTCCTACCCTATCCTCACTCCATTCCACATAGGGGATATCCAGAGTTTGTCATTTCACTCAGGGCAGGGTTCAGGCCCTCCCCCAAGAGTCCAGGCTGAGAGAGCATCCCTCTTTGTGTTATGGACATACGAAGTCCATGTGTATCACTCCCCCTCTCTCTGTCACTGGGTTCCAGGGGTTCAGTTCAGTGTTTAACTGTGGGTGTTTGCCTCTGCTTCCATCATTCACTGGATGAAGGTTCTAGGATGGCATATAAGGTAGTCGTCAAGTTCATTATCAGAGAGGGGCATTTAAGGTAGTCTTTCCACTATTGCTTAGTTTACCAGTTGGTGTCATCCTTGTAGATCGCTAGAGGTCTCACTGGTGCCAGATCTCTCTTCAAACTTATAATGACTCCCTTTATTATGGTATTTCTCATCCTGTTCTCCCCCTGTACTTCCCCCAACTCAACCTTCTTGCTCCCACATGACCCACTGTCCTCCCCCTCTTTTTTCCAGCCCCCACTTCCTCCCACTACCCGCCATGCTCCCAGTCTATTGAGGTCTTGCCTCATTCCTCTTCTCTGGGGGTACCATGCATATCTAAGGTTCTTTGCTGTTTCCCAGACTCTCTGTCAGTGTAATTGCAGATTGGCACTATCCTGATCCATGTCTAAAATCCATATATGAATGATACCATGTTTGTCTTTTTGTGACTGGGTTACTTCACTCAGGATGGTTTCTTCTAGTGCCATCCTTTTGCCTGCAAATTTCAAGATTCCATTGGTTTTTTCCCCCCCTGCTGAATAATACTCCATTGTGTAAATGTACCACATTTTCTCTATCCACTCTTCAGTTGAGGGGCATCTAGGTTGCTTCCAACTTCTGGCTATTACAAATAATACTGCTATGAACATAATGGAACACACGTCCTTGTTGTATGAATTTGCATCTTGGATATATGCCTAAGAGTGGAATTGCTTGGTTCTGTGGTAGGCTGCTTCCCATTTTCCTGAGGAATCTCCATACTGATTTCCAAAGTGGGTGTACAAGTTGGCACTCCTACCAGAAGTGAGGGAGTGTTCCCCTCCACATCCTCTCCAGCATAAATTGTCGTTGGTTCTGATTTTAGCCATTCTGACAGGGGTGAGATGGTATCTCAGAGTTGTTTTGATTTGCATTTCCCGGATGGCTAAGGATGTTGACTACTTTCTCAAGTGTCTCTCAGCCATTTTAGACTCCCCTGTTGAGAATCTCTATTTAGTTCTGTACCCCACTTTTTAATTGGATCCTTTGGTGTTTTGGAGACTTGCTTCTGGAGTTCTTTGTAAATTTTGGAGATTAGCCCTCTGTCAGATGTGGGGTTAGTGAATATCTTTCCCCATTCTGTGGACTGCCTTTTTGTCTTGTTGACTGTGTCCTTTGCCTTACAGAAGCTTCTTAGTTTAAGAAGGTCCCATTTGTTAATTGTCGATCTAAGTGTCTGTGTCACTGGTTTTATGTTCAGGAAGTGGTCTCCTGTACCAACTTGTTGAAGAGTATCTCCCACTTTCTCTTCTAAAAGTTTCAGTGTGGCTGGATTTATGTTGAGATCTTTGATCCATTTGGACTTAAGTTTTGTACAAGGCGATAGACATGGATATATCTGCAGTCTTCTGCATGCCAATACCCAGTTATGCCAGCACCATTTGTTAAAGATGCTTTCTTTTTTCCATTGTATAGTTTTAGCTTCTTTGTCAAAAATCAAGTGTTCATAGGTATGTGGGTTAAAATCAGGGTTTTCCATTAGGTTCTGTTGGTCTACCTGTCTATTTTTGTGCCAATACCAAGCTGTTTTCAGGACTATGGCTCTATAATAGAGCTTGAAGTCAGGGATGGTGATGCCTCCGGAAGTTCCTTTATTGTGCAGGGTTGTTTTGGTTATCCTGGGTCTTTTGTTCTTCCATATAAAGTTGATTATTGTTCTTTCAAGGTCTGTGAAGAATTGTGCCAGTATTTTGATAGGGATTGCATTGAATCTGTAGATTCTTTTGGCAATATTGCCATTTTTATTATGTTGATCCTACAAATCTAAAAGCATGGGAGATCTTTCCATTTTCTGGTGTCTTCTTTGGTTTCTTTCTTTAGAGACTAAAAGTTCTTGATACACAGGTCTTTCGCTTCTTTGGTTAACATTATCCCCAGATATTTGATGCTGCTTATGGCTATTATAAAGGGTGATGTTTCTCTGATTTCTTTCTCAGCCAATTTATCATCTATATATAATTGGGCT